TTTACTGCTAAAACTTCCACTACATCATTTGAGGCATTTAGCAGTTCTGTGCAAACAAGTTAGTTTAAGTTTAATATGTTTATTATGCACCCCATACCCATCCTGTGGGCGGTAGTCAAAAGATTAAAAAGGTACATAATTGGTCCAGGGACTGGACTCCAAAGTTTTAATAGCTGAGCAAGTTACAGAGGTAATGAATTCACAATTTACAAAGGTAATGAACTCACAATTTACAAAGGTAATGAACTCCAGGTAGGTCTAGTCACAATCATGACAAGTTACAAAGGTATTTACAGATTACAGAGGTACGTAATGGGTCCAGGGACTGGGCTCCCAAAGTTGTGATGGCTGAACTAGGTACAAGGTAATGAACTCACAAGTTACAAAGGTAATGAATTCTGTAAGAATGGTTACTTACGTTTATACATGGCTACAATCATGAACAAATTATAGTGTAATGAGCAATTCGCAAACAAGTGACTCTGCAATGTACAGGCCAACCCCCCTCCCCTTTTACCTGTTCACTCTGTCGCATCTGGGATCCATATTTCGTTGTCCAAGTGATCCTTTATGTGGGTCTCAGTGAAAGCCGCGAACATTGCCTTTGCCTCTGCAAGCAGTCCACGGATGAAAGGTATTTTGTTGTTTGTTGCTGGCTTTAGAACCCTGTATATTTGCAAAGAAGAATGTCATCGGACTGGTGGTATTGTTGGTACTGGGGGGGATTTTTTTTTTCCGGCATTAGTATCTGTATCTGTTGGTTTGGAGTGGAGGCCATCGACTGTGGTTCCACTCCAGGAATGACTGGATTTGGTGTACGATTTCTGCCATTTCCTGCCAGTTTTTTTTTTTCCTTCCCGGGGACTAAAAAATCCCCCCCCCTCTTGAGTGGCTGTGGCTACCCAGGTTTTCCCATGGCCTGGATGTTTTGTATCTTTTTGTCCCCTTTAGATGGTGTGCCTGGCAATTTAAGTTATAGCACAGTCTTTCCTGTACTGAAGAGGTACACATTTCAGGGTGAAAAGCTTACAGGAAGGGATTTGCATTTTCTGTTGTCATATGGGCACGGCATTTTCTAGGGTGGTCATAGTTGCACGTCCCCTCTGTTTTTCCAGATTTCCCATGCCCGCAGATACCAAGTGCATAATTGTGCAAGGCTTGGTTTCAGTTTGCCTTGGGTTTGTGACTGTATTCCCTGTTGGTGCATGTTTCCTGTCTTATTTCCTATCTCCCTAGCACCAACAATGGAGCTCCCACCAGTTTTTTTTGGTAATATATCCTCACTATTGCTAGTGGAGTCCTCTTGTTTGCTATTTCCTGTGGTATTTCTAGTTTGCAATATTGGTTTTATGTTATCTTTGACTACACTTGATTCCCCACTACGGCTCCTGTCTCCCATGAGGTCATTTATATGCATTCCTTCCTGCGTATAATTCCCGACTACCTGGACAAAATCTCCAGCTTCACCATTACTGTCTCCCAGGACAGCACCTCCAGCTTCACCATTACTGTCTACCAGGACAGCACTATCAGCCCCACATTTACTGACTACCAGGACATCACCTCCAGCCTTACAGTTTCTGACTACATGGCCAGCATCAAGGGCAGTACCATTCAGCCCAGACTTTTTATGTTCCCATCTGTCATTAGCTGTCTAAAATTTTGAATATTTTTTTTTTCAGAAGACCCAGTATGCCATGGAAAATTCAGTTTTCAGGAGCTCAGAAAAGAAAGACTTCCAAAGAATCAAGCTAAAGAAATGCTGCGATCTTGGCAAAGACAACACGCCTTTCAGTTGTTCTCTGCTTCCTTACTGGAAAACATAGAAGCTACTAATGAAGAACCAGTACCACTACCAGATGATTCTTCTGAGGACCCACCCGCATTCTCAAGTACATCTGCAGAAAATAAAAACAACATACCAAATCAAGATAGTAAAGGTGATAAATCACCACAACCACATTCTACAGATACTTGTGTAGACATGGACAGTGAAGCGTCACCATGTGATTCAGACTCAGCCATGTCGTTTCCTGTCAGAGAAAACTGTGTTCCTTTTGGTCAACTGCCACCATATAGATACCGAAAGTGTGGCACCAAAGATATAAATAAATACACATCGGTAATTATTATACAGTGTTGACGGAATATATTACAAACTGAAAATTATAGTCCTGGAGTTTACGTGGAGAGAGCCCCCGGGGGTCAACGCCCCCGCGGCCCGGGGCCCTTTACCAGGCCCCCTGGGGGAAATCAACCCCAAATCAACCGGGGCTTTTACTGCTGGCTGCACGAAAACCCAACGTACGAGCCCACCCCGGGGTGGTCGGGGTCCCATTTTAGGTGCTTGTCCATTGCCATTTTAAGACTGCCGGGGGTTTCATTGGAAAACCCCCTTTATGTTTGCGGGGAAAGGCGGTTGAACAGTCTGGGGCCCGAAAAATTTGGGAAATGGTCTAAAAAACGGTTAGGGGACACCCCTGTTTTAAATTGGGGAGAGTTGTCGTCTGCCAAGTTTTTTACTTTCGTGGGTGAGTGATTTTTTTGGGGCAAGTTGGGAAATAGCCCCTTAAGGTTTTTCCAGGTGTTTTATAATAAAGTATCTTTTCCCCTCCCGTTCCAGGAAAACAGGTTCAGGAACTTCAAGCGCCCCCAGAAATTTTGAGGTTTTTTTTATTCATTTTATGCGGCCTTTAAAGGGGTTCTCTACATTTTTTTGGGTCGGGAAAAATTTAAATTGCCTTAAAAAGTGCTGTTAATTTTCAGCAATATTCCACCCTAGATAGAAAAGTGCCCTAAAGGGGTGTATTTTTTTTAAAGTCAATAAAATTGAAAAAAAAAAAATTCAGAGTCCTCTTCGAAACCTAAAAATTTTTTTCAAAAAACCTGCAATTTAATTTCCCCCTTTGGGACCCCCCCAAAACCCCAAAAAAAGGGCCCCGGGGCCCCCCAAGGTCTAAATCGGGCCCCCCGGTTGTATATTTTTTGGGGCCGTCCTCAAAAACACGTTCATTAAAACACAGGATAGATAAATAAGCTGAAAAAAAGCGTGTTTTAGGAAGTAAAATCATAAATTCAATTTTTTTCTCCCTGTTTATCACTTCCCAAAACCCGGAGCGTCGTTTTTAACAATTATTAATGGGCCTTGAATTATTTAACTAAACTCCCACTCCCGCCCATCCCTGAGAAGTCAAAAAGTTTCTCCCGCCCTTGAGTTCGGAAAAAAAAGTCCCCCTTTTTTTTTTTTTTTTGAGAAGAATTAAAATTTGTTTTCTAAAAATTTTTATTAAATTTTTTTATTCACGTCTTTTCCGACTTTTAAAATGGGAAACAGGAATGCAAAGAACACCTTTTAAAATTTTTTTGGCCCGCTATAGTATTTTTTTTGTCTAGGTTTTCGGACCCAGGATCGGGGCCCCAATCCCCTCCTTGGACCGAATGATCCACACGGGTTTTGCGCTTTATGAAATATAGCAGAATGATACTGTGGGTTTTGATAGTCAAGTTCAGGACAGTCCCCCCTGTCTGCAAATATAATTTTAATATTCCTTGCAAATTTTAGTAGATACATTTTTTGGAAACTTCCACTTTTTAGGTCCTTCACATTAATTTTTTTGCTCTATTGTGTGGTTGGAAATTTTTTTTATGCTCAGTTTTTTAAATTTTCCCCGAGTTTTTTCCCTAGCGGAGTAATTTTAAATTTGTCTTTTATTGAACTTTTTAAATTTTCTCTGCGGGCCATTTAAAAAATTTGGGGTTTTTGTCCCCGGTTTTAAGATTTGCAGTGTCCCCTTCCCTAAAATAAAACTGTCATGCGATTCGGGTTTTTTCTGCACAGGGCCCTAGTGTTGTGACTTACATCTCCCGTCAAAATTTGAAAATGAGGAACAGGTTGGAGCGAGTACTGGACCTCGTGGAAAAAGGGGCTTTTTACTCTAGCCACTTTTAGATTTTTCTCTGTTTATATTGCTCTTTTTGGGTTTGTTTGGAAATTTTAGATCCCTTCCCCTTTTTTATTTTCATCCTTTATAAAGCAATTTTTGTGTGCTATTACATCACGATCGCATTTTTTTTTTTCCTCCAGAGCACCCAAGACCATGTCAAAGTGGTCCAGTAGTTGGGACAGGCAGGAACGGCCTACTCTAAACCCATGTTGCCCTGGATTGTGCAACTGATAGGTATCTAACGGGTGGCGATCTTGATTCTTAGAACCCTTTCTAAGATTTTTATGGTGTGGGACGTTAGTGCTGTCGGTCTGTAATTCTTTGCAATTGCTTTACTGCCACCTTTGTGGAGTGGGGATATGTCTGTTTTTTTAGTTACTGTGAGTTGACCCGTGTCCATGCTCCCTCTACATAGAATACTTAAGAAGGGAGTTTCTTGCAGTTTTTGATGAACACTGAGTTCCATGAGTTTTGGCTTGGGGCAGAGTACATGGGCATGTCATTTATTGCTTTTTCAAAGTCCTGTGGTGTTAGGATATCAGAAATTTTTGAATTAGCCAAATTTTGAGTCTAGGTCATAAAAAAAGAACATTTAGATTGTCGACCCTTAGCCTGATTAACGGTTTACTAAACGCTGAGTCATCCTGGGACTTTAGTATCTTACTCATTTCCTTGCTGTCACCTGTGCAAGTCCCATCTTGTTTAATCAGGGGTCCAATACTGGAAGTTGTTTTTGCCTAGATTTGACATAAAGATATTTTTTTTCAATTTCATATACGTGAGTTTAATATCTTTATTATGCACCCCATACCCTTATAAGGCTTTAATTTCATGCGTTTCTTGTCTCCTGTGTAATTCTTCAAGTTTAAGTTCGATATTTGCTATTTCTTTGATCAGTGCCTCCTTTCGTATTTGATATATAGGCTCCTTTCAGCAGCTCTGTATAGGGAGCGTCTCTCTGGTGGTAAGCTAAGTACTACCACGATGTTCAATACAGACAAACCAATGTAACAATGGGGCACGAAATAATCAAACTTTCACTTGCTTTTTTTTCAGAAACATACTTTGATGTAAATCCATATGTTGCTTACTAGTAAAGAGGGCAGTAAGGATGCGTCAGGCAGCACCCCTGCTCATCCTGCAAGCAGTTACAGTAACATGGATGTTCCTAAACATCACTCATACTGCCGCAGTGCCACGAGGGAGCTTGAGGGGTGCCACCGCCTTCGTCAGGGACTTCGTTGACTACCACAACTTCAAACTGATCAATATATACACTACGTTCAAAGAGAGAAGTAAGTGGTGGTATTGCATCAGTGAATTAGCACGATTTTATTGCTTTATGAACCCAATACCTCTTTTAACGAGTCAAAATATTAAAAAACGTAATGTATTCAGGGACTGGGTACCAACATTCTGCCGTGTAGGTTGGGCCTAAGAACTATGTTATACCTGGAGGGTGTTCCGAGGGTCAGCAACCCCCGCGGCCCTGTCTATGACCAGGCCTCGAGGTGGATCAGGACCTGATCAACCAGGCTGTTACTGATAGCTGCACGCAAACCGACATACGAACCACAGTCCGGCTGGTCAGGAATTGACCTAAGTGCCTGTCCAGTTCCCTCTTGAGGACAGCCAGGGGTCTATTGGTTATCCACCTTATATATGCTGGGAGGCAGTTGAATAATCTTAGCGCCTCTTCAACTTGTGTTGTTTCAGCATACTCATGGTGCCCCTGCTTTTCATGGGGGGGGGGGATGTTACACCGCCTGCCAAGTCTATGCTTTCGTAGAGTGTTAGTGTGCAGATTTGGGACTAGTCCCGCTAGGATTTTCCTAGTGCATATTATCTATGCATCTTTTTCGCCTGCATTCCAAGGAGTATAGATCAAGGGACTTCAATCGTTCTCAGTAACCTTGGTGTTTTATTGTACTTATACGTGCAATGAAAGTTCTCTATATTCTCCAGGTCAGCAATTTTGCCTGCCTTGAAAGTGGCCGTTAGTGTATAGCAATACTGCAACTCAGAAAGAACAAGTTATTTGAAGAGAATCGTCATTGGCCTGGCATCCTAGTTTTGAAGGTTCTCATTATCTATCCTATCATTTGTAAAGACACTGTTGTGAACTTTGAGAGAGAGATTCTCCTAGATTATCACTACTAGGTCCTCGAATTTCATCATCCCTTTTCTGTATGTAAAACTATAGTTATTCTCTATAAAATGTATTTTTTGTTAATATTTCCCACAAGAAATAATATAAATTCAATTAATCCATTCCAGATACCCAAAAATATTAACAAAAAAAGACATTTTATAAAGAATAACTAGTTTTACATACAGTAAAGTGATGAAATTTGAGGGTCACAGTGCTGTAGCATATATCGCCCAGATATAAGGGTGAAGAAGAGGATGGGAGCGAGTGTTGTACCTCATGGAACACCTTTTTACTCTAGCCGGTTGACTGTCTCTGTGTATTATTACTTTTTTGTGTCTTGTTCCTTTATCACTTATTTTGTGTGCTACTAATAATATGGATTAATAATAGATATATTTGTCACTGAAAATGAAGTAAAATGTTTCAGTTTTGCACTAAAACTAACGTAAGACCTCGCCTAAAATTCCTAAAATTATCGTAATTTATTTTAGCCTAATTATACTAAACCAATCAAGGATCAGTTTAATATTTAATTTAATTAAAATCGATGACACTTTTTTTTCGTTATGTTCAGACTAATTTTTCCAAATTTATTGCATAAAAAATGTCACTTTGCTTATTCGGGAAAAATGACCGTTGCTTTTTTAAACTCGCCGATTCTGATTATTCACCAAGACATCAAAACTTTGGGGCCCAGTCACTGGACCCATTATGTACCTCTAATATTTTGACCACCACCCACAGGATGGGTATGGGGTGCATAATAAACATATTAAACTAACTAAATCTACAGTCTGCGCAAAGTTAAGATGCCGACTGAAGAACAAACCTTGGCTCAGTGAAACATGAAAACAGATGGTCGAAATCTGAATTTTTTTTTATATAAATCTTTAGAACAACTATTATACTAATTGCAAGTGGAGCCATGCAGCTTCAAGAGTGGGCTCATCCGCCTTTAATTGGAACTCTGCATTCTGGTCATTGAAGCCCAGATCATGGCAAATATGATTGATAATAATGCTAGAGGACGACAGAAGTTTGTTCTCTGCTTCATGGCTGCTCCATTTCTGGAACAGCCATGAAGCAGAAAACAAAACAGTATCCTCTTCTAAAATTATTGTTATAATACTATAATATCTTTATTTACTACAAATACATGTACAAGGTATACAGGCTTAGCTGAAATCAATGACATACTACTGTATAGAAAGCCGCTTGTTATGCAGAGCATTTCGGGCAAATTAGGTCAGTTTTGTCCCAGGATGCGACCCACACTAGTCCACTAACACCCAGGTACCCATTTTACTGATGGGTTAACATGGACAGTCGGTGTAAGGAAACGCGTCCAATGTTTTTACCTCTATGCCGGGAATCTAACCAGGACCTTCCTTGTTGGACTGGAGGCGCAGCCAGTGGCCACCCATGGCCCTCCAGAATTACAACTACTGATGCCAATAACAAAATCCCCCCAACAAACACAGAATACAACCTCGTTCATATTTGCTAATATACAGGGCCTTAAGCCATCCACCAACAACAAAATACCTTTTATCAGTGGACTTCTAGAGGAGTCTAATGCAATGTTTGCAGCCTTCACAGAGACTCACACAAAAGATCACTTTGACAGTGAAATATGGATAAGTGGTTACAACCTTTTTAGATGCGACAGAAAAAACAGGCAACAAGGGGGGTTGGCCTGTATGTAAAAGAGTCCCTTATCTGCATGGAGTTGCTGAACACCACAAATGAGGTAGTTGAAGTTCTATCAAAAAAGATCGAGAACCAAAACCTAGTCATTGGGGTTTTGTATACAACCCAAACCAGATGCAACCTCACAACAGTTCAAGGAACAGCTACTGAAATTGATTACTGTTTGGAAAATTTCCCAGCTCCACCCCCAAACATCTTACTGCTTGGTGATTTAAACCTAAGGCATACAAAATGGAAGAATGTAGCAAAAAATGTTTATAGCTGAAAACAATCCCCGGAGTAGCGCAGATGAAAGGTCACACACACATGAGCTACTAAGTCTCTGCGAAAAACACACCTTAAGCCACCCAGATAGTGGAGCCAACAAGACTAGAAAACACATTGACCTTATCTTCAAAAAATAATGAGGACTGATAAGAGACATAATACAAAAACACTAATTCCGATCACAACGTAATCGAAGTCCAGACGTACATGCATAGGGGTCCTGATCAGCAGAATGCATGTAACCTGTGAAGGTGTCTTCACAAAATACAACTTCAAAACAAGAAACATCAACTGGACCAGGTAAACCATGTCCTAAACGAAAATGTTGGGAAGATGTCTTAAATGACATGGATCCAAACCAGTGCCTTGAAAGGGATCAACTTCCTGGTAGCCGAAGCATGTTCTAGCATATTCCCCTAAGAAAGAAGAAGGGGCAGGAGTAAACTGGGAAAAAGACGCCCCCTTCTTCAGAAGACACGAAGTGTCACAGCTCCTCAGGAGTGCTAGAACATCTGATACACGAAAGGAGGCGCTGAACAGGGAAGTGGAAACTATCGAACTTAAGCTAAATGACTCTTACAGGAACCGGAGAGGCAGGAGGAGCTTAAAGCTATTAGTGAAATTGAAAGAAATTCAAAATATTCTTTTCATATGCCAAAAACAAGGCAAATACCACATCTAGTATCGGGCCCTTACTCAGACAGGATGGGACTTACACAGATGACAACAAGGAAATGAGTAAAATATTGAAACCCAGTACGACTGTGTTTAGTGAACCACTAATCGGTTGAGGATCGACGACCCAAATGATTTCTTCATGAATGAGCCTCAAAACTCCATAAATGTATGCCGATTTCCGACATTACCCTAACTCCGATAGATTCGAAAAAGCCATTGACAACATGCCTATGCCTCAGCCCCGGCCAGACTCGTGGAACTCTGTTTTCATTAAGAAAATGCAAGAAAAACCCCCCTTGCGTGCCTAAGTACACTATGGAGGGAGGGTTGGACATGGGGTGAAATTTTCCCCAGTCACTTAAACAACGGATATAGCCCCACTCCATAAAGGTGGCAGCAAAGCATTAGCTAAGAAAATATAGACCAATACTCTGACGTCCCCATCATAAAAATCTTTGAAAGAGTGCAAGAAGCAGGGTTGCAAATCACCCGGATTCCCAAAATCTGCACAATCCAGGGCAACATGGGTTCAGGGCAGGTCGCTCCTGCCTCTCACAACTACTGGATCACTATGGGCATGGCCTTGGATCACTGGAAGAAATCAGAATGCAGATGAATATACACAGACTTTGCAAAAGCATTTGACAAATGCGATCATGGGGTAATAGCCCATAAATACGTGCTAAAGGAATAACTGGGAAAGTGGGAGATGGATCTTTCAACTTCCTAACAATCGAACACAAAGAGTAGTGGTCGACAGAGTTAAATCGGAGGCTGCCATAGTGAAGAGCTCTGTTCCACAAGGGACAGTACTCGCCCCATCTTATTCCTTATCCTCATATCAGACATAAACAGAGATATAAAGCCACAGCACCGTATCATCCTTTGCGGATGATACTAGGATCTGCATGAGGCTGTCATCTGCTGAGGACGCGGTTAATCTCCAAGAAGTATAAACAAAGTTTTCCAGTGGGGAACGGTAAACAATATGATGTTCAATGAGGACAAATTCCAACTACTCCGTTATGGAAAACTGGAGGAGATAATAACTAAACAGAGTTACTACTGACTCGGCCATACAACAGAGCGGAAAACTAATGTAAGGGATCTGGGGTAGTAATGTCTGAGGATCTCACTTCAAGGATCACAACAGTGCCACGATCGCACGTGCAAAAAAATGATAGGATGGATAATGAGAACTTTCAAAACGAGAGATGCCAAGCCATGATCCTTTTCAGATCACTTGTTCTCTCTAGGGTGGAATACTGCTGTACATTAACATCTCCATTCAAAGCAGGTGAAATCGCAGATCTAGAGAGTGGGACAGAGATCCTTTACTGCACATATAAGTTCTGTCAAGCACCTTAACTACTGGGAACGCTTGGAAGCACTTGACTTGTACTCGTTGGAACGCAGGAGGGAGAGATATATCATAATCTACACTTGGAAAATCTTGGAAGGAATGGTCCCAAATCTGCACACAGAAATCACTCCCTACGAAAGTAAAAGACTGGGCAGGCGATGCAAAATGCCCCCAATAAAAAGTAGGGGCGCCATTGGTACACTAAGGGAAAACACCATGTGTCCGGGGCCCAAAACTGTTTAACAGCCTCCCATCAAGCATTAGGGGAATTGCCAATAAACCCCTGGCTGCCTTCAAGAGAGAGCTGGACAGATACCTAAAGTCAGTGCCGGATCAGCCGGGCTGTGGCTCGTACGTTGGACTGCGTGTGGCCAGCAGTAACAGCCTAGTTGATCAGGCCCTGATCCATCGGGAGGCCTGGTCATGGACCGGGCCGCGGGGGCGTTGATCCCCGGAATAACCTCCAGGTAACTCCAGGTAACCCGATTTGGATAGGTTAATTGCTATAATTTCTACCTATTGTTTTCAAATTATATTGCTTAGTATATTTGTCATGAATTTCTGTTGTTGATGTCGATAGTTTACCTGGAGAGAGCTAGTAGTGTTAACTATCAGTGATATTAATTACTGTCCTTCGTCATAATCATTCTTTTCAGAGAATGTTTCAACCCTTCAAGTCCCACAGTGCAGGAATAATATTCTGGACTCCAATGGAAATATTACAATATTAAAACCAGCTACTCTGGTACAGATACAATTACGTGGACTATAAGATTAGGCTTGCTGGGAACATGCAATAAATTATTATACATAAATTATTAGTTATTAAAAAAACTTTATTACCACTACCATATGTTACTTGAAAACACTTAATGCTGATGGAACACGCCCTAACCTAACCCCTGGCAGCTAGAATTTACGATGGCCAACGCAAATACTACTATACATTATGGGTAGGCACTTAACAAAGGTGTATTGTTGGGAAGGATTCATTTAAATCCTCTATTTTCGTCCTCCAGACGCAGTGCTTGCGGTCCCGCAAATTTCCTGTATCAATTCTTCAGCAGAAACGTGTCATCAATTTCTAATTTACGAACTGAGGCCGATACATCTCATTAGACCTCTGAAAACGCCGAATTCCTGATACAAATTTCCTGCCTCACAATTTCAACATGGCATCCCTTCTGGCTCTTCCGCCTCCCCCTCCCCCCTCGAAATTTCTCGAAGGGTCCAAATAGCATCATATTTTAATACGCAGTTATAATATTTATATGTTCTACATTTAGGAAATTGTGTAAAAAAAATTCCACACTGTGATCGTTGATCCCTAGCATTTCTCACACCACCACCGACGATAACTCCGTCATACCGCCCACAGGATGGGTATTGGGTGCAAAATGAACATACTAAATTAACTAATATTTCACAAAGGCAGTGTAGTTCTCCTCGTAAGCGAAATGTTGCCACATTGAAATGTCTCATAATAATTTCTACATGATACAACTTATGCAGGACATACCTGGAGTTTACCTGGAGAGAGTTCCGGGGGTCAACGCCCCCGCGGCCCGGTCTGTGACCAGGCCTCCTGGTGGATCAGAGCCTGATCAACCAGGCTGTTGCTGCTGGCTGCACGCAAACCAACGTACGAGCCACAGCCCGGCTGATCAGGAACTGACTTTAGGTGCTTGTCCAGTGCCAGCTGACATCAGTGACACACTGTATAGAAAGTTCCTGGTTATGCAGAGCATTTCAGGTAACTTAGGTTAATTTTGTCCCCAGGATGCGACCAAGCGACCTTTTTTACCCAGCATGTTTCATTTACCTCACTTTATCCACATATGATGTTCTAGATCTTTATAAACTAGTATAATTCTTGAAATAAATGTAGTAATTGTTATAGGTAGTCAATTATAAAGATTTTTACCTAGTATAACCCCCTCTCCCCCAAATGACGTATTTCTAGTGGTATCCTTATTTACATTGTGTTCCTTTATGTTCATGGTAATACAAGCAGTCGACCTACTTTTTCATCTTCACGGTGTATGCGGGACCATCATAATAAGTAATGGTTGGTCAAGGTGTACTCAGTGCAGGTCAATACTGAGAAAACTAGGAGAAATATGATTGTTACCCCAAGCAATGTAAACTTTCAAAGTATACTGGTGTTTTATCAACACTGTTTACGTAGCAATATCTTATCGTGATTCACTGATTTATTTACATGTTATTTTTTCATACACCTATCGTGTCAATGGACTCAGGGGTCTCAAGTGCTGTCAAAGAAAGCCCCACTGCTAACAGCCGGAGAAAGCATGGACACAGGGGCTCGTCCCACATCGCATTAAAAACAACAACAAGCAAGATCCCCCCATCTAGATACCTCATTCACAAAGGGGCCCCTCAAAGGCACTAGGGGAGCGTTTAGGAATACAGGACCCAAATTAGCCTAGCGTTCCACATCCCCCCCCCAGCGTTTGATAAGGGTTCTAGAAGCAGTCGCCACCCATCTAGATAACCATCAGTTACACAACCCAGGGCAACATGGGTTTAGTGCAGGTCGCTCCTGCCTGTCCCAACTACTGGACCACTATGACAAGGTCCTGGATGCTCTAGAAGACAAACAAAACGCAGATATAGTACTTATACACAGACTTTGCAAAAGCCTTTGACAAGTGTGACATGGTGTAATAGCGCACAAAATGCGTGAAAAGGAATAAGAGGAAAAGTTGGTAGATGGAGTTTACCTGGAGAGAGTTCCGGAGGTCAACGCCCCCGCGGCCCGGTCTGTGACCAGGCCTCCTGGTGGATCAGAGGCTGATCAACCAGGCTGTTGCTGCTGGCTGCACGCAAACCAACGTACGAGCCACAGCCCGGCTGGTCAGGAACCGACTTTGGGTGCTTGTCCAGTGCCAGCTTGAAGACTGCCAGGGGTCTGTTGGTAATCCCCCTTATGTATGCTGGGAGGCAGTTGAACAGTCTCGGGCCCCTGACACTTATTGTATGGTCTCTTAACGTGCTAGTGACACCCTGCTTTTCATTGGGGGGATGTTGCATTGTCTGCCAAGTCTTTTGCTTTCGTAGTGAGTGATTTTCGTGTGCAAGTTCGGTACTAGTCCCTATAGGATTTTCCAGGTGTATATAATCATGTATCTCTCCCGCCTGCGTTCCAGGGAATACAGGTTTAGGAACCTCAAGCGCTCCCAATAATTGAGGTGTTTTATCTCCGTTATGCGCGCTGTGAAGGTTCTCTGTACATTTTCTAGGTCAGCAATTTCACCTGCCTTGAAAGGTGCTGTTAGTGTGCAGCAATATTCCAGCCTAGATAGAACAAGTGACCTGAAGAGTGTCATCATGGGCTTGGCCTCCCTAGTTTTGAAGGTTCTCATTATCCATCCTGTCATTTTTCTAGCAGATGCGATTGATACAATGTTATGGTCCTTGAAGGTGAGATCCTCCGACATGATCACTCCCAGGTCTTTGACGTTGGTGTAGTAAACAGTCAAGTCTGAGGCGGCTACGGTGAAAAGCTCTGTTCCACAAGGCACAGTACTTTCTCCTATCCTGTTTATCATCCCCATAGCTGACATAGACAGGGATGTAAGCCACAGCTCAGTGTCTTCCTTTGCAGATGACACCCGAATTTGCACGAGTGTCCTCCAATGAAGACACTGCAAGACTCCAGGTGGACATCAACCAAATCTTTAAATGGGCCGCAGAAAACAATATGAAGTTCAATGACGAGAAATTTCAATTACTCCGATATGGAAAACGTGAGGAAATTAAAACTAAATCTGATTATAAAACAAATTCCAACCACACAATAGAGCGAAAAACTAATGTAAAAGACCTGGGAGTGATCATGTCAGAGGATCTCGCCTTCAAAGATCATAACAGTGTATCAGTCGTATTTGCTAGAAAAATGACTGGATGGATAATAAGAACCTTCAAAACAAGGGATGCCAAGCCCATGATGACACACTTCAGGTCACTTGTTCTAACTAGGCTGTAATATTTCTGTACACTAACAGCACCTTTCAGGGCAGGTGAAATTGCTGATCTAGAAAATGTACAGAGAATCTTCACGGCACACAACTGCGATAAAACACCTCAATTACTGGGAACGCTTGAAGTTCCTCAACCTGTACTCCCAAGAACGCAGGCGGGAGAGATACATGATATACATTTGGAAAATCCTAGAGGGATTAGTACCAAACTTGCACACGAAAATCATTCCCTATGAAAGCAAAAGTCTCCGCACACGATGCAATATCCGCATCCGCACAATGAAAAGCAAGGGTGTCACTAGCACGATAAGAGACAACACAGTGTCAGGGGCCCAAGACTGTTCAACTGCCATCTTGCATACATAAGGGAGATTACCAATATACCCCTGGCCTTCTTCAAGAAGGCACTGGACAGGCACTTAGTACCTGACCAGCCGGGCTGTGGTTCGTACGTCGGGTTGCGTGCGGCCAACAGTAGCAGCCTGGTTGATCAGGCCCTGATCCACCATGAGGCCTGGTCACAGACCGGGTTGCGAGGGAGTTGACCCCCGAAACCCTTTCCAGGTATCTGTTTACATAGACTGAAAACTGGAAAGTAATTGACACCATACTTGCATTCCCTGGGTTGTATGTTATTAGTTATTAACTTTGCGAGGTTAAAAATATGAAGAAAATTTGCTTCTTCTTAAGATACCAAAGAATGATATTGCAGCTGGGCAGTGTAGCCTCCAGCTAGTTAATTTTATAACCATTTTTTTCGTGTATGAGGGTGGGCTCTTCTGATGTCTTGAATAATATTAGCGGAGCTTCACCATGCGCTGCACATTCTTTAATCTTCTGATGAGGGGCTCTTGATCCAAAGAAGTGAACTTGTACCCTCTCCCTCTATGGATCAGATTTGCATTCCTTCCATTCTCCAGGCGCTCTATTGGGTTTAGCACTTCCCTATTAATGTAATAGTGATAAAGACAATGGTTAGACTACTATTTTTTTTTTTAATTTCAGAGCTGTAGGCCCGAGTTGTTTTTGCTGACTTGTGGCTTATTAACCAATATTCTTGTGTTCGAGGATCAAGAACAGGTGCCCGGCTTGTCCCGGCTGAATCAGTTGATTCGTGTACTTGTCTCATGCTTGGTAAATACACTGAATCATCACAATGACTAATTTTGTTTTAAGTTGTGCAGTCTGAGCGGCTAGTTAATTGTGCACCCATGCTCATCCTGTGAGTGGTAGCGCAATAAACAAGATTACAGGTTACATATAAAGGACCCCAATGGAAATAAGTCACTATGACTTTTTTTGTTATCCTAGGCTCTCTACACATATGCTGCTATGTATGATAATCTATGTAACTGTATTTGTGTATACCTGAATAAACTTAGTGTTTGACAGATCCCACTGGCATTGTTACATCACTGGAAAGAAATACTAATAATTTCATATTTTATAATTACTTCAGCCCTTGTGGCTTAGCGCTTCTTTTTGATTATAATAATATAATTACTTCATATAGTTGTTGTACACAGTACAGTAAGGAATAGAGTTACTAGATGCATTTTGTTCCAGATTTAGTAACCACCCATTGGGTTTCAGACTGGTTGACCAGATTCTTCTTCCTGGGTGCTGGTGTAAGGGTGGTGAGGGTGAACCACCTCTCCTTTCTATATAATAGGAGTGATCTGGAACAAAATAAGCAATTATCTGTCGTTATGGCAACCAGTGATCACCTCGGCCTATTCTCCAAGGTAAGCGTACAAGTGTAAGCATCTATTTGTGGTTACAAATGTTGAGTCTCTACCGGCTCATCTGCATATAGTTGCAGAATCTCATCTCATCTCCACCTTCAAACGTGCCATTTACCAGATTCACTCCCTCCTAGTCTTTTGGGCCCTATCGTACCTTCTCTTAAAACCTTGTATGGAGCTTGCCTCCACTACTTCCTCATCAAGATCATTCCACTTCCTGCCTGCTCTAAGACTGAAGAAATACTTCCAGGCTCATCTCTGCCAGAAGTGTCTGTTCCTGTCTCTCGAATAGCCTATGTTAGGGGGGGGGGCTGTATGTTGGGGGATTGCGTGAGTGTAAAATACCTGGTTTGCTTACTCTAGCCTCCTCAAAGCTATGTATGAAGCTTGCCTCTTCCATGACATGAGGTAGATTTAGATTAGATTTAGATTTTGCCACCGAAGTGGCTAGTTTATTGTGCACCCCATATCCATCCTGTGGACGGTAGCGCGAGAGCATATGGATACACAAAAGGCCTAGGAACTAGGCCCCAAAGGGTTAACAGGAATACATATGGATTTATATCTACATATCTATAGTTCACTTATCTGTTACAAGCAAATTTAGGAAATTTGCTTAGTATATCTGGTATCTTATTTTCATTAATAAGATATCTTGACATGTCACATAGGTTATTATACTGTCTGTCTCTGTATTCCTCAATTAGTGGACAATTAAGCACATAGTATTCAGAGAGTGACAATATGCCTGAAACATCATAAATTACATTTAGTTTGTCATTTGTGTGTCTCCAAACTGCCAGAAGTACTTGTATCCGAAGATAGCCTGGCTCCACTACAAACATCCAGGTTCAGTCTGTTCACATTGCAAGTTGCTCATAAACATACTTATCTACGTTCTCGCCTTCAAGATGTTATCATAGTGGGTTATAGAATCGACTCAAGGCTTCTAACTGCATTCCTATAACAATCATTTTCATTATTTACTTCTCTCCTAGTTTTCCTAATGCTAGACACAGTTATTTTACCAAAGTTTTATTCCACATTCTCATTCTCGTTACTCTTCTTGGCTAACATATCAACTTTATCATGATGGAGTAATCCATTGTGTGATGGGATATAGCAATTGTACATTAATTCACTTTGTCCCTAAATTTTTGAGTATTCTATACTGGCTTCCCCAATGAAGCATGTTGGTGGAGTCAGTATATGAGCAGAGCCTTCAATGATGACATAGAATCAGTATGATGATGAGTCAAGTCAGTGTCATAGTTAGCTTTAGCGCCATTTTAGGATTGCAAACAATTCAGTTTGCCAGTGTAGACGCCCAGTTGTTAATTCTTATGCCTAACTCAACAAATTTATTATAGTTCTTACTAGGGAGGTGGCAGCAAGAAGCAGATGCATAGCCCTGCCAGCAGACTCCTGTTTGATCCATCAGTGTATATAAATTGTGATACTTGTTACTACCAGCTAGGTGAGAATTTCTTCTTGAGCAGTTGCTCTAACAAGAGATTTATATGGAAGGGATTACTAGAAATGGCTTCTTGGGAGTGGACTTGTAGGTATGTGTATTAAATGAACACATCTTCCATGGAGGGTGAAATGCTCTTGATAGCCTTACAGTGATACAGTTCATGCCGGTTATAAACTTAATGCTAATTGCACGTTTTCACAATCCATTTAGTTCGGTGTGTATTTTACCCTAGCACTTGGTAGATTCACTGTGACAGAGTCTGTTCGTTTCTCAACATTTAATCCGAGTACGTGTTAATTTTCAACAATCTATCATGTTACTAGAATACAAGCTCCTTCCTCATGTTAAGAACTTTTGTAGATCTGGGACAGCAGAATAATCCTGAAGAGCTTAATTTTGCATTAACTCCAAGGGTCGAGGGAACTTTCTCTAGCTTAATATCAAATGGGCAGCAGCATATTCAATTAAGGACCTAACATAGGTATGTACATATTCTCACGATTCTCACCATTTGCACCATAGTTGGGATTGTAGCCAGCAAAGCTTTGAGAGCATTTAGCCTAAGCTTTACATTTTTTTTTTTTTTCTTGTTTAGTTGTGGTGTAGTGGATTTGTTAAAGGGTACATCTACATCAAGATATCTGTAAGTTTTAAACGTAGCTAATGTTTCACCTGCAAATAGATGGGTGGGGGATGTGTTTGCTTGTTATATTTTAGTTTTAGTGGAAGATATTATGAGGGCTAGTCGATTACAAATTGCTTGAATTCATTAAGAATGGTATTCATCTTCTTATGGCCCTGTTGTATGATCTGATATCATCACCATAGCTTATATGTCTATATGTTTAGGTGAGGAAGGGGTAGAGGCATTTAGGAGAGCATTAATCAGAATATTAATAGCATGGGACTAAGAACGCCTCCTGCGGTGTACCTAAGACATTTCTTTAGGAATCACTTCTGAAGCCTTGGTAAAGGACAGAGGATACTCTATTTGAAAGGTATCCTATTATCCAGCAGAGTAGCTCACCAATATTCATTTTGGCTAGTTCATGTAGTATAAACGGTTCTGTTCGCAATATCAAATTGCAGATTTTAGATCAAGAAAAGTGGTAAAACTAGTAGAGGTGTGTGCAGTGAGAAAGGTGGAAATACAGTTCTGCAACTTTTTCCTTTCCATGAACACATAGAGGTAGGTGGGAAAGTTGATGTCAGATTCTGTAGTACAGTCTGTTAAGCATCATTCTTTAAAGTTTTAAAAGACAACTCTAGTTAGGAGATCGCCTAAATGTATCAGGCTGTTGGGGCTTAGGGATAGCACAATGAGACTATTGGTCAGGAAGTAGGAAGAACGCACTCAATGTAACTGAGAGTATACAGGGCCAAATAAGGGTTATCAGGCACGTGCCTAGAGTTCTGGAATTATCATGGTTATTACTCCTATCACTCTCCAGGAGCCAGTGATCGACCTTTGGGTAATGCATTATCTAATTCATACTCGGTAAAGAGGCAATCACTCTCATCTATGTTTGGCTCATAAAATTAATTCGGTTTCAACATTTCTTCAGAAGGACTCTCTATCTTTTTCTAATATGAGATGGAAGGCTTTACATGCTGGATGTTTTGGACAGTCATTTATGAGGTCATTTGCTTTTTCAAGAGGAAATGGGAATGAGCAACATTGCTGTCTTTCCTGGTTTTTTTATTTATACCTTTCCAAGCCAAACTCAAAGGGGTGTGGCCTATTTATCTACTAACAAACTGTTCCCATTCATGTTGCAAAGTTCTTCCTTTCTATTCCTTGCATTTGTTAGTGCAGCTTGGAACCGATTCTGAGCAGGTATGGGGTTCTACAATTCCGGTATGCTTTACCCAATCCTCCTGCTGCATGTGTTTGATTTTTGCCGCAGTGTGGATCATTATGTATTTACCATTGGTTTTATTGTTATTTATATTGGAGGGTTTTTGTTCTATTCCTGCCCACTTGATCTGTGAGAACACTCTCAATAGTGGTAATTAAATATCATTAAAATTTTTGTGTGCCAATGGGCTCGTAATTCTTATACCAATTGACAACGGGTTAATTAAAGTAGTCTCTGTTCTGGTTTGAGAATAAGTTTCCTCCTTCTGTATTTAGCTCCTTGATTGTGGAGATGTGATCAAGATTGTCTGTTGTTTAAGTCTTGGAAGTGATCAGATAGAAAATCATCAACTATGACAGGTCATGCATCGTATTATGATGTATTAAATCCAAGACACAGATCTAGTATGCCACCATATATGTGAGTAGGCTCAGTAGTGCCCACAATTCGAACATTATCATGCTCATTTAGCAATCTCACTAGTTTAGTTCCATTGGTGTTTGTTATAGACCCACCAATATTCTTATGTCTGGCATTAAAATCTCCAAGAATGATGGTAGATTCACTATTGATGCGATCTGGTAAAGCATCAGGTCGAAGCTGGTTCGCTGGGGCATAGAGATTAAAAATGTTTATGGAAAAATCGCCTGCATATACTTTGACACCATGATACTGCATGTTAACTCATAATAATAATAATTTAATACCTTTCTTCATTACTAATATTTTTTTGCTTACAATTTTTTCTTTTAAAAACATAAGGTGCCTTGTTATTGATCAATAACCACCCATCTATTTTTTATCCCTTTTCTAAATGTTATATACTCAAGAGATATGTATATCTTCGTGTATATATGCTGAGAGTTTAATTTAATGCTCATTTTAAGAATTAAAGAATAAATCACACTACCGTGGCTGGAACACAGTGATATCTGGGAGTAAATGAAGTGTACAATACATCCTGGGAAGGGCCCTAAAAAAAAAGGACCCCAATAGAAATAAGCCAACTGCTTGGCGTTCATAGGTTATTAACCTTCCGAATAGTCTTCTTCCACCCAGTTATTTACACACTCAACATTCACCAAGCAGATGATGGTACCGAAGAAGAATGTGTGGTGGCTGGTGTTGGTGGACTACCAAGAAAAGCTGGACATCCTTCCTCTTCCTCTCAACAACCAGGTCAGGCTTCTACCTCTAACTGCTGTGGATTATTATTATTATAATCATAACTAAATGCTAAGTCCACTAACTGCTGTATAAATTATTTTCAAACTAGAATATGTAATGCATATTTAAAATCCCCTCCAAGGATGCTTCTTGAAGCTGGTGCAGAGCTCTTGAGCCAAAGAACTAGAGGAACCCTTCTTTTATATCAAAGTTGATAGCCTCCCATTCTCCGGGTCCTGTATGGTCCCTGTGGGTTTAGCGCTTCATAATTATAAGTTGTTTCCCCGTCATATTACACCATTCTTATCGTAGGTGATACTGGTGGAAGCCTTGGACTCGAGTAAGGTTCGTCTGGGCCTCAACTCTTCCTGGGACCACCAGCGGATATCCAGACTCCACCTTCGTGAAGCCTACACCACCGCTCCTCACCTTTCTCACAGAGTCACCACAGTTGGCTACTGGGTATGTTGCAGGTCCACCCTTACCTAGATACCTACTTTTGGGTCTTAGGTTTTAGAATAGGATGATTGGTTTCTGATTTCGTGACTCCAGTTCAAGGCTTTCGGGCATTTAGGTTGTTGGCTATGAACAATGGATTCCATGTTTTGGGACTTCATCATCCATTCACGTCAATAGACATGGGTTACTAACTTCTTGGACGTGAAATTACAGGCTCTGGTACATGAATTCGAGAACTTGAATTCTTGGATTCATTACGTTCGAGTTTGGATTAAAGACTTCGGTATAGAGAATAACTTTGGAGTTTGGATTAATAGCTTTTGGATTTACAATAATTGCTTTGGGACTAAGAATAAATAACTGGGAATTCGACTTGGATTAATAGTCTTGTGACTTGAATTTGTTTACTACTTTCAAAATTTTATTAATTGCTTTTGAACATAATCACAAATTTTGGCTATATGACATAGGCTTCGGAGCAATACAAAAACTTAATCAAAGGTGTTTCTAAGGAGTGAGGACATAGAAAATAATTTGGGGAATCTGTGACACTAAGTTATTTTACGTACACTTTCACTGAATTTTGGATTACAGTTGTCTTACAAAGGTAACATTTGATTACACACACTCAAAAATACAACACACACACACCACAACACACCACACACACACACACACACGCACAACGCACATGCACCACACGGATTCACGGAAGGCAAATCCTTGTGTCACAAAACCTTCCTGTGGTTTTTTGATTAAATAACAGAAGTAAGACAAGAAGAGAGAGGGGGGGGTTTGTTTGCATCTTCTTGGATTGCAAGAAGGCCTTTGACACAGTTCTCTCACAGAGTTTAAGTGGCCGGGGGCAGAAGCTAGAGCTTCAGGCGTTATAACAGGAAAAGGGCTCTGGTATGGAAGCCAATATTGCCCTAGGTTTATGAGTCAGACGACTAATTCTTGGTTTTCTTTCATCTCTATTTACAATAATTTTTTTTTATTTTAAATTATTTATTTCAAAAGAGCCATACCAAGTACTATAGTTATATATACAAAATGATTGCATATTGTGTTTGATCATAATATAGTACAAATGAAATTAGATACAATATAAGACTGGAGAAAGTCACCATTTGTGCAAATACATATCAGAGAAACTAAACATAAGGCTTATGATTAAGTTAGTATTGCTTGGTAATACATTATTTTCATAAGTATAATTGGAGAAGTTACAAATGAAGAAGTGATCAATTAGAGTTAAATTAAATTGGTTCAGTGACCTGCATATTATGAAGTGGTTAAATTGGGATGTTGAAATTAAAATGTGAGAAATAACAAACAGACAGTGGCTGTAAAATTAATTAGATATAATAGGTGCTTTTTAACAATATAAGCAACAGTGTTAGCAGATGTCTGCTTTCCAGACATAATTAGCACCCATGCTCATGTATTATTATCACCCTGTTATTGATAGTCTAGATTAGATTACAGTCTTCACATATATTGAATCATTCTTAACATTCAAGCAATCTAAACCTTACCTTTGGATTTTTGTTTAGATTTACCAGTTAGTCTTGGTGATTAGGAAAAATCTTACAATGCCCAAAATGCCTGCATAATAGCTTTTCAATAAGTTTGTAGTCGAAGCCACTTATTCTTTTTGCAACCATATAAAATATCTTAGAAATTTCATATTTAGATGTATATACTGTACATATTTTTTTTTTTTTTTCAACAAGTCAGCCGTCTCCCACCAATGGCTGGTGACCCAAAAAGAAAGAAAATCCCAAAAAGAAAGTACGTTCATTGTCATTCAACACTTATACCTCACTCACACATAATCACTGTCTTTGCAGAGGTGCTCAGATACAACAGTTTAGAAGCATATAAAAAGATATATAACATAACCCTCCAAACTGCCAATATCCCAAACCCCTCTTTTAAAATGCAGGCATTCTACTTCCCATATCCAGTACTCAAGTCCAGCTATATAAAAATAACCGGTTTCCCTGAATCCCTCCACTAAATATTACCCTGCTCATACTCCAACAGCTTGTCATGTCCCTAAAACCATTCGTCTTTATTCACTCCTATCTAACACGCTCACACGTGCTTGCTGGAAGTCCAAGCCCCTCGCCCACAAAACCTCCTTTACCCCCTCCCTCCAATCTTTTCGAGGGCAACCCCTCCCCCGCCTTCCTTCCCCTACAGATTTATACGCTCTCCAAGTCATTCTACTTTGATCCATTCTCTAAATGACCAAACCACCTCAACAACCCCTCTTCAACCCTCTGACTAATACTTTTAGTAACTCCACACCTCCTAATTTCCACACCGAATTCTCTGCATAATATTTACACCACACATTGCCCTTTGACAGGACATCTCCAGTGCCTCCAGCCACCTCCTCACTGCAGCATTTGCAACCCAAGCTTCACACTCGTATAAGAGTGTTGGTACCACTATACTTTAGTACATTCCCTTCTTTGCCTCCATGGATAACGTTTTTTGTCTCCGCAGATACCTCAATGCATCACCTGCCTTTTTTCCTTCGTCAGTTCTGTGGTTTACCTCATGCTTCTTAAACCCATTCGCTGACAAGTCAACTCCCAAATATTTGAAAACATTCACTTCTTCCATACTCCCTCTCTCCAATGTGATATCCAATTTTTCTTTATCTAAATCATTTGATACCTTCATCACCTTATTCTTTTCTATGTTCACTTTCAACTTCCTACCTTTTCACACCCTCCTAAACTTGTCCACTAACCTTTGCAACATTTCTTTAGAATCTTTCATAAGCACAGTATCATCAGCAAAAAGTAACTGTGTCAACTCCCATTTTGTATTTGATTCACCAAAATTTAATCCCACCCCTCTCCTCAACACTCTAGCATTTACTTCCTTTACAACCCCATCTATAAATATATTAAACAACCATGGTGACATTACACATCCCTGTCTAAGACCTACTTTTACCGGGAAGTAATCTCCCTCTCTTCTAGACACCCTAACCTGAGCCTCACTATCCTCATAAAAAAACTCTACAACATTTAGTAACTTACTACCTATTCCAAATACTTGCAGCATTTGCCACATTGCTCCCCTATCCACTCTATCATGTGCCTTTTCTAAATCCATAAATGCAATGAAAGCTTCCCTACCTTTATCTAAATACTGTTAACACATATGCTTCAATGTAAACACTTGATCTACACATCCTCTACCCACTCTAAAGCCTCCTTGCTCATCTGCAGTCCTATTCTCCATCATACCTCTAATTCTTTCAATAATAACCCTACCGTACACTTTTCCTGGTATACTCGGTAAACTTATTCCCCCTATAATTTTTACAATCTCTTTTGTCCCCCTTCCCTTTATATAAAAGAATTATACATGTTCTCTGCCAATCCCTAGGTATCTTCCCCTCTTTCATACATTTCTTAAACAAAAATGCCAACCACTCTAACACTATATCTTCCCCTGCTTTTAACATTTCTGTCATTATCCCATCAGTTCCAGCTGCTGAACCCCCTTTCATTCTACGTAATGCCTCACGCAAGTCCCCCACACTTGCATCCTGCTCTTCTTCACTCCTAGAAGATGTTATACCTCTGGCCAGTACATGAAATTACTGCCTCCCTTTCTTCATCAATATTTAAAAGTTCCTCAAAATATTACCACCATCTACCCAATACCTCCAGCTCCCCATCTACTAACTCCCCTACTCTGTTTTTAACTGACAAATCTAGTTGTTCCCTAAGCTTTCTTAACTTGTTTATCTCACTCCAAATTTTTTTCTTATTTTCATCAAAATTTCTTGACAGTGCCTATCCCACTCTGTCATCTGCTCTTCTTTTGCACTCTCTCACCACTCTCTTCACCTTTCTTTTACTCTCCATATACTCTGCTCTTCTTTTAACACTTCTGCTTTGTAAAAACCTCTCATAAGTTACCTTTTTCTCTCTTATCACACCCTTTACATCATCATTCCACCAATCGCTCCTCTTTCCTCCTGCACCCACCCTCCTATAACCACAAACTTCTGCCCCACTTTCTAATACTGCATTTTTAAAACTATTAAAACCCTCTTCAACTCCCCCCACCCCCCAACTCATACTTGCACTAGCCCACCTTTCTGCCAATAGTTGCTTATCTCACCCTAACTTCCTCCTCCCTTAGTTTATACACTTTTCCCTCTCTCTTGCTGTTTCCATTTTCCTTTTGTCCCATCTACCTCTTACTCTAACTGTAGCTACAGTTAAATAATGATCTGATATATCATTTGCCCCTCTATAAACATGTGACATCCTGAAGCCTACCTATCAACATTTTATCCACCATTACATAATCTAACAAACTACTTTCATTATGTGCTATATCATACCTTGTACAGTATACTTATTTTTCCTCTTTTTCATAAAATATGTATTATTACCAAACCTCTTTCTACACATAGCTCAATTAAAGGCACCTCATTTTCATTTACCCCTGGTGCCCCAAATTTACCTACTACTACCTCCACATTTTTACCCAGTTTAGCAGAGATCCCCAACCACAAGTACTCTCTCACTTAGTTCAAAACTCCCCATGCACTCGCTCAACATTTCCAAAAATCTCTCTTCTCCAGGTGCATAAATGCATACCATAACCCACTTTTCACATCCAATCCTTATTTTACTCCACATAAACCTTGAATTTATACATTTATATTCTCTCTTTTCCTACCATAACTTATCCTTCAACATTATTGCTACTCCTTTAGCTCTAACTCTATTTGACACCCCTGACCTAATCCCATTTATTTCTTCCCACTGAAGCTGTATAGCCCTTGTGGCTTAGCGCTTCTTTTTTATTATAATAATAATAATCTTCCCACTGAAACTCTCCCACCCCCCTTCAGCTTTGTTTCACTTAGAACCAGGACATCCAGCTTCTTGTCATTCATAACGTCCACAATCATTTCTTTCTTATCATTTGCACAACATCCACGCACCTTCATACATCCCACTTTGACGATTTTCTTTTTCTTTTTAGTAGGCTATATGGGAAAAGGGGTTACTAGCCCATTGTTCCCAGTATTTTCGTTGACTTTTACAACACCCATGGCTTACAGAGGAAAGATTCTTATTCCACTTACCCATGGATATAAAAGGAAAAAGCAATAAGAACAAGAACTATTAAGAACAATCAAAGAAAACTCTGAGTGTGTATACATAAATGTGTACATAGTACATGTATATGTGTAGCATGACTTAAGTGTAAGTAGAAGTAGCAAGATGTACCTGAAATCTTGCATGTTTACGAGACAGAAAAAAGACACCAGCAATCCTACCATAATGTAAAACAAATACAGGCTTCCTTTTTACACTTACTTGGTAGGACGGTAGTACCTCCCCGATTGGTTGCTGTTTACCAACCTACTACCTACTATTTGCATACATTTCATAATAGTACAGACATTATCAAAAATATACAGGGTGTCCACAGAAACACTCCCTGATTTCAAACAGGTATAACATGTAACTTTATTGTAATGCATAATCTTTCACAGTTAGTAGTTTTAGATACAGGGTTTCATTCAGTTTCATGTGGTATAGGGTAGCATTAAAGGCACTCAGTGTGCGCCCGTCTGGTTACTCGGCAAACATCGATGCGATAGTCCACGTGCTCTGCAGCATATCTAGTGTTATCATACGAAATGCTTCAGTGATCGAAATTTTCAGCTCCTCCAGGGTTGCAGGTAGTGGTGGTACGTAAACTGTGCTTTTCACATACCCCCAAAGCAAGAAGTCACAAATAGTTATGTCCAGTGACCTCTGCAAGTGGCCTGCGAGGTCACCAGACCTAACTGCTTGTGACTTCTTTTTTCGTGAGGAAGTTAGTACATACGACCGGGAGAGAATTCATCACAGATTTAGATCCAGATATGCTGCGTTGGACCTAAACATACCTGGCAACACCAGAAGGGCATTGATTAACTTCAGGTCAGCCTTCAGAGACTGTTCTCAGGTGGTAAACAATTTTATGAAAATAGATAATTTCTCGATCAATGAAAATATGAAATTTGATGGAAAACTTACGGAATTATGCTCTCGCGAAGTTAGCGGTCTCGACGATGTTTACGCATCGGCGATTTTGCCCACTTTGAGCCCTATTTTTGGCCAATTCCAGTGTACTTGTCAACAGAAATCATAACTATTTCGCTAGAACTCCATTTTTTTTCTATCGAATGAGTACAAGAAACCACCCATTTACCAATTTCAACTATCCAATACAGTGGTCAGAATTTCGCAATTTTGCCAATTTCACACAAATTTCAAAAGATGTCAATTTCCGAATAGGGCCCAGAATGAACAAGAAAGACATTCCTGGCACTAAAATAACATTTCCTCTGTTCATTAGTCACGTCCCCATGCTCCTCTTACATTCTTTTGCTTTCCACTTTGAATTTTTATTCTCACAAAAAAATAGAAGATTTACTGTTATGCAGACTACTGCATTGGTGTAGAAATGGTATAAATATTATCAGTGCACTTGTGAAAGAATATTAGACTCACCAGTATTGGACGCATAGCATGATTTGTTTACTTTTGAATTTTGGTAAAAATCAAACATTTCTGCTACTTTGAGTGCAATTTCAAGGTAGTTTTCTTTGTAAAACCAGTCAAAATCATCTCAATTTCTGTAATATGTCTTCCATTCTATAAAATGAGACCAGGAAAACTAGAATACAACAATAAATACCATACAAAAATACAGTGCAAAGTCGCTGTTTTAATCCAAAAACAGTCAGTTTTTTTTTTCTCATTACGCACTGTGTGCTGCAGGATTTTATACCGCGCACACTGACCACAGACCCATTCTTTCATATGTAGGCCTACCAGCTTTCTCTCACTAGATTTGAGGGCACTAGAATTTAGGCGTACTAGTACGTCAAAAACCCTGGTGCGTAAGCCGTACTAGTACGGCCGAAACCCTGAAAGGGTTAATGCTACGCTATACCAAATGAAACTGAATGAAATCTTGCATCTGAAGCTTCTAACTGTAAAAGATTATTACAATAAAGTTACATGTTATACCCAGTTGAAGTCAGAGAGTATTTTTGTAGACACCCTGTATATAACCCTGTTTTACAGTTAGTACCATATGGAAATGCTGTATGTCAGCTTACCACTTTTACCTGACACAGAATCCTGAGCACAAAATGTTTTGGAGGATTTGGCAAGAGCTGGTACTTCCTGATAGTCTTGTGACTGAAGATGCCCAAGGCCTCGTCAGGGTAAGTTGTTTTAATTTGTATAAAGGCAGGTAGCAGAGAATTATTGGCTTTCAAATACCTCATTTTCTTTTGTTAGTGAGAAATACTTAATCTTTTGCAAAGGCCGAGTAATTTTTTTCCCATTCTACATCCCATCTACAGGGCCTCGGCTCCTTTCTCCAGCTTTCTAGTCCAGATTTCACACTACAGTATCATAACCTTATTTAATCAGTATGGCAGATAACCTGCAGAACGAGCTTTTATTAGGACAGTGCTTTGCTTTTTGCAAATCTCTGTACAGAGCTCTACAATGAAATATTTTCTAAGTAAAAGCTTCCTTAACTTGTCTGTCTTCATAATATTGGTTTTAAATATTTAGAAATATAACCAGTGTTTTTTTACAAAATAAATTTATAACCTCAGTGTATCTTTTTTAGAAATATACCTCTTGCATTTTCATAAATATTAACCCTTTAAAAAAAAAAAAATTATTTTTTCTTATGAAATGATAGAAAATCTTTTCCCTATTGTAATGACACCAAAAAAAACGAAATTTGATGGAAAACTGAGGGAATTATGCTCTCGCGAAGTTAGCGACCTCGGCGCTGTTTACAAATCGGCGATTTCGCCCACTTTGAGCCCTATTTTCGGCTAATTCCATTTTTCCAGTCGCCCAAACTCATGCTATTTCTTTAGAACTCCATTTTTTCTATCGATTGAGTACAAGAAACTGCCCATTTACCGATGTCAACTACCTAATAATGTGGTCAGAAATTTGCAATTTGGCCAATTTCACGAAAACTAAAAAATATGACAATTTCAAAATAAGGTCCAGAATGAACAATGCAGACATTCCTGGCTCTAAAATAACATTTTCTTTGCTCATCAGTCATGTCTCCAGGCCCCTCTGATATTACTCTTGCTTTCTATTTTGAATTTTTATTCAAACAAAAAATAGAAGACTTACTATTATGCAGACTACTGCAATACTGTAATAATTGTATAAATAACATCAACCCATTCATGACTGCATATTAGAATGGCTAGTTGGACATTTATTGGACAATGGCATCATTTGTTTACTTTTGAACATTGGTAAAAATCAAACATTTCCCCTATTTTGAGCTCCATTTCTAGGTTCTTTTTATACAAAAATCAATCAAAATCACCTCAATTTATATAATATGTTTTCCATTCTATCAAATGAGACCAAGAAAACGAGAATACAACCATAAATACTATACGAAAATAGACCACAAAGTCGGCATTTTAATTAAAAAAAACGGTCGGAGTTTTTTTTTTTTCTCATTATGCACTGCGTGCTCCAGGATTTTTTTTATATGGTGCACACTGACCACAGAGACCCATTCTCTCACATGTGGGCCTACCAGCTTTCTCCTGCTTGATTTGAAGCCGCTAGAATTTATGAGTATATATATGTCAAACACGGTACCTCGTAAGACGTATATATACGGCCGCGACAGTCAAAGGGTTAAGAATAAAATACAGTGATTTGTTTTTGTCTGCACAGGCTCGAGAGGAGAACTATGTCCACATGATTGACTTAAGTGTCTTCAACTACCTCAACAAAGGACACTGTGAATTAGTAAGCCTTCCCATCCATGACTTTTCATTTCCATCTGGCTTTGCTTTCCAGCTGGGATCACCATTTGTTGAAGTCTTCTCTAGAGCGTAAGTTGAAATGAGACTTTCGTCATGATTTTATTTTTTTTTCATCAAACTGCCCTTGTCCCACTTTGGTAATATGTACAGGAGAAGGGATTACTAACCCCTTGGCCCCAGCAGGTTAGTTGCCTTTAATGACATGCATGGCTTAAAATCATATTTTGGAGATACAGTGGACGATCATGATTCAAGACTTTTTTTTTTTTTTTCTCTTAACAAACTAGCTGTATTCCACCAAGGCATGGTGGCCTAAAAAGAAAAATGAAAGTTTCTCTTTTTAAATATAATAATGTACAGTGGACCCCCACCTTATGAACGCATCGCCTTATGTTAAATCCTCCATACGAAGCATTTGAACGCAAAAATATTACCTCGCCTTACGTGATTCATCCAGGCTGCGTCCCACGCGTGGCCTCAACTGCCCCGTGGGTGCCAGTGTTTACAAGCCAGCCAGTGAGGTCGCATCTAAGCATACATTCGGTACATTTCATATTATCACAGTGTTTTTAGTGTTTGTAGCTGCAAAGTAAGTCACCATGGACCCCAAGAAAGCTTCTAGTGCCAACCCTGTGGTAAAAAGGGTGAAAATTACATTGGAAATGAAGAAAGAGATAATTACTAAGTACGAAAGTGGAGTGCATGTCTCAGAGCTGGCCAGGTTGTATACCAAACCCCAATCAACCATCGCTATTATCTTGGCCAACACAATGGCAATCAAGGAAGCTGTTCTTGCAAAAGGTGCAAGTTTGTTTTCGAAACAGAGATCGCAAGTGATAGAAGATGTTCAGAGACTGTTATTGGTGTGGATAAATGAAAAACAGATAGCATTTCTCAAGCGATTATATGTGAAAAGGCTAGGAAGTTGCATGACGATTTAATTAGAAAAATGCCTGCAACTAGTGGTGATGTGAGTGAATGTAAGGCCAGCAAAGGTTGGTCTGAGAGATTTAAGAATTGTAGTGGCATACATAGTGTGATAAGGCATGGTGAGACTGCCAGTTCGGATCAAAAAGCGGCTGAAAAATATGTGAAGGAATTCAAGGAGTACATAGTGAAGAATTGAAACCTGAACAAGTGTTTAATTGCGACAGAACAGGCCTGTTTTGGAAGAAATTGCCAAGCAGGACCTACATTACTTAGGAGGAAAAGGCACTCCCAGGACATAAGCCTATGAAAGATAGGCTTACTCTTCTGATGTGTGCTAATGCTAGTGGTGATTGCAAAGTGAAGCCTCTATTGGTGTATCACTCTGAAACTTCCAGAGTGTTCAGGCAAAACAATGTCCTCAAGGCTAATTTGTGTGTGATGTGGAGGGCAAACAGTAAAGCATGGGTCACTAGGGACTTTTTCTATGACTGGTTACACCATGCATTTGCCCCCAGTGTGAAAAATTACCTAATGGAAAAGAAATTGGACCTTAAGTGCCTCCTGGTATTAGACAATGCTCCTGGTCATCCTTCAGACTTGGCAGAGCAACTTTCTGGGGACATGAACTTCATTAAGGTCAAGTTTTTGCCTCCTAATACCACTCCTCTCCTGCAGCCCATGGACCAGCAGGTCATTTCAAACTTCAAAAAACTACACAAAAGCTATGTTTCAAAAGTGCTTTGAAGTGACCTCAGACACTCGATTGACTCTAAGAGAGTTTTGGAAAGATCACTTTAGTATCTTCAGTTGTGTAAACCTTATAGGTAAGGCTTGGGAGGGAGTGACTAAGAGGACCTTGAGCTCTGCTTGGAAGAAACTGTGGCCAGAATGTGTAGAAGAAAGGGATTTTGAAGGGTTTGAGGCTAACCCTGAGAAGCGTACGCCAGTTGTGGAATCCATTGTGGCATTGGGGAAGTCCTTGGGTTGGAGGTTAGTGAGGAGGATGTGGAAGAGTTGGTGGAGGAGGACAATGAAGAACTAACCACTGATGAGCTGTAAGATCATCTTCAACAGCCAGAGGCCAGACCTGAGGAAACTGCTTCAGAGGAGGGGAGAGAGAAATTGAGGATGTTGCCTACTTCAAAGATTAAAGAAATGTGTGCAAAGTGGGTTGAACTGCAAACCTTTGCAGATGAAAATCACCCTGACACAGCTACTGCAAGCCGTGTTGGACAACCTGTACAGTGACAATGTTATGGCCCATTTTAGGAAAGTCTTAAAGGAACAGGAGGTATAGAGCTCTATGACAGATTTGTTGTGTGACAGAGGTCCAGTGACTCTCAAGCTGGTCCTAGTGGCATTAAAAGAAGGGAAGTAACTCCAGAAAAGGACTTGCCACCGCAAGTCCTAATGGAAGGGGATTCCCCTTCTAAACAATAACAACTTCCACACACTCCCCTCTTCCCATCCCATCAATCATCACCAGATCTTCAATAAAGGTAAGTGTCATGTATTCTATTCTTAGTAGAGTAGTAACTGAGCATGCCTTCTTCAGTTTGTGTGTATTAAAATTAATATTTCATGTGGTAAAAAAATTTCCATTATTTCTTATGGGGAAAATTAATTCGCCTTATGATAATTTCGGCTCGCAATGATCTCTCAGGAACGGATTAATATCGTAAGGCGGGGGTCCACTGTATATAGGAGAAAGGGTTGCTAGTCCCTTGCTCCTGGCATTTTAGTCACCTGTTATAATGCATGGCTTATGGAGGAAGAATTCTGTTCCACTTTTCCTTGGAGACTGAAAAACACATGGAATAAAAATGGTAGTGTTTTTCAGATCTCCAGGAGAGCTATAACAAAGTTTTTAATGTGATAAAAATATTTTTTTTTGTACTATACAATCTTGACACCTAGCTCTAAATTATCCAAGAGTTGAGGATGACTATAACAATTATCATGGATGAGGACCCTGAATGTAAGATCTTTCAGGGACTAGTACATCCTCACTTCAGTGAAGTAGGGCTCAGTCATACCATACTGTGGCATTCAACTTCTAAATAATAGGCAAAATTCTATTGTCTTTTCCTTTTAAACACAGGGATTCTTGGAGTGATAAACAAGTAAGGGCTTACATTAAAAGTCTCCTGATGATTTATCACAAAGAAGCAAGCTGAAAACAGTCTTTTGTGGCCTTGAATCTAAGAACAGTTTCCTCTTGTTTGCTGATGTATGTTCTAAATGGCATCTTCAGAATTTACCTGTTTCATCAGCATTAAACATCTGCTCAGGTTTGTTGCCACCCTCAGAAATAATGCTGCAAGATATTTCTGCTGGGAACTTTTCTGCAGCAACATGGTTGGCAGAGGCATTCTCCTTACTGAACTTTATATTATGCTAACCACTACACATTCTAAATCTGTGGGGGATCTGAGGCCTGCTTACCATAATACTCCTTAACAAAAATTCACACTGCCCATGGAAATGAATTCCACTCCCACACATATTGATGGAAATGAGTGCTTTTTTTTGGAAATGAAAACCTGAATTGAAATCACAAAAAACAATCACGTAAAACAATATAATCTTACTCTCATTATCTGTAATCCTCCCAAACATTAAAAAATTGATTGTGTTCCCTTTATGTTAATAATCAAACCTTCAAACCTGTAATTCCTTATCATTTAAACTTGATAAAAGCTATATATCATGAACTAATATGATATTCAGTTCTCCTGTATTCATTGCAACTCCCAAATTTATATTTACACTCACCCAAGTGACTGTATGTATAAAATTACTCATATTGTTAATGCCTTATTAATCTTAAGTTAGTCTTAAGTTTGCCTGAAATGCTGTGCATATTTAGGGGCTTTCTGTATGTACACCCAAATGTCATTCACCTTTAAATAACAAAAAGGCACAATACCGTGACTGGAACGATACACAAATAACCCGCACATAAAAAGAGAGAAAGCTTACGACGACGTCGTCGTAAGCTTCTCTCTTTTATGTGCGGGTTATTTGTGTATCATTCACCTTTGTACAAACATTGTATCTTGCTTAAATAAAGTACAGTGGACCCTTAACCAGCGATGGCATTGATTAACGATAAATCTAACTAGTGATACTTTTAAACGCAAAAATTTTGCCTCAACTAGCGCTTAAAAACTCGACCAGCGCTATTCGTTCCGTACCATACGTGTCCACTTTGGCCTGAGCGCGCCTCATTTGTCCCTTGGGTGTCAGTGTTTACAAGCCAGCCAGCCACCGCGGTCGCTTCCAAACATACAACAACTGGAACATTTCATATTATCACAGCCTTTGTAGTGATTGCACATGCAAAATAAGTCACCATGGGCCCCAAGAAAGCTTCTAGTGCCAACCCTACAGCAAAAAGGGTGAGAATTACTATGGAGATGAAGAAAGAGATCATTGCTAAGTATGAAAGTGGAGTGCATGTCTCTGAGCTGGTCAGGTTGTATAATAAACCCCAATCAACCATCTCTACTATTGTGGGTAAGAAAACGGCAATCAAGGAAGCTGTTCTTGCCAAAGGTGCAGCTGCTGCTGCACCACAGTCAGCTGTTGTTGTTGCTGCACCACCATCAGCTGTATTACTTGAAGATGTGGAGAGAGTGTTGTTGGTGTGGCTTAACGTGAAACAATTACCGAGAAATGATTAACCCCGGAGGGTTAGCCACCCAGGATAACCCAAGAAAGTCAGTGCATCATCGAGGACTGTCTAACTTATTTCCATTGTGGTCCTTAATCTTGTCCCCCAGGATGCGACCCACAACAGTTGACTAACACCCAGGTGAACAGGAAAAAATGCCTGGAACTAGTGCTCATATTGGTGAGGTTAGTGGGGAGGATGTGGAAGAGTTGGTGGAGGAGGACAATGAAGAACAAACCACTGATGAGCTGCTAGATCATCTTCAACAGTAAGAGGCCACACCTGAGGAAACTGCTTCGGAGGAGGGGAGAGAGAAATTGAAGAAGTTGCCTACTTCAAAGATTAAGGAAATGTGTGCAAAGTGGCTTAAAGTGCAAATCTTTTTTGATGAAAATCACCCTCACACAGCTATTGCAAGCCGTGCTGGTGACTATTACACTGACAATGTTGTGAAACACTTTAGGATAAAGGAACGAGAGGTACAGGCCTCTATGGACAGATATGTTGTGCGACAGAAGTCCAGTGACTCTGAAGCTGGTCCTAGTGGCATTAAAAGAACAAGGGAAGTAACCCCAGAAAAAGACTTGCTGCCTCAAGTGCTAATGGAAGGGGATTCCCCTTCTAAACACTAACAAGATCAACGGTCTCCCCTCCTCCCATCCCATCAATCATCACCAGATCTTCAATAAAGGTAAGTGTCATGTAACTGTGCATGTCTTCTTCAGTTTGTGTGTATTAAAATTAATATTTCATGTGGTAAATTTTTTTTTTTCAATACTTTGGGGTGTCTTGCACGGATTAATTTGATTTCCATTATTTCTTATGGGGAAAATTAACTTGACGATTATTTTGATTAACGATGAGCTCTCAGGAACGGATTAATATCGCTGGTTGAGGGTCCACTGTATTATTATTATTATTTGTTTTTGTATTTAGAGAAATTGTGTGAGTGTGCTGTTGATACTTGTTGTGACTATGATTATATTTGCCATGCTATACCACTTTTTATCCACAAGTGCTTTTCTTTCATGCATTAAAGAGGTTCATTTCCTTTCATCAGGATCATCAACTTGTCATCTGTAGGTCTGCTAAAGAAGTATCAGAAAATATCGATGTCAAGTGCTGTCACAGACACTTCCTGCGACATAAGTGAGCTGGAGCCAGTCTCTCTTACTCATGTGTGCACTTCCTTCCTCCTCCTCATCTTGGGGATCATTGTCTCCTTACTCATGCTGCTAGTGGAGAGGCGTGATCGAGGCAACAGGACACTAGGAAACTTTAATAACTTTGGAACTTCAGCATACGCACATCACGAAAATGAGTTTACTTTTGACAAATGTTGTTTGTTGTAGAAATTTTGATTAAACTCAAATTTCACAATGCATAAAATATGGAAATTAGAATTATTTGTTAGATTATTTAGTGACCCCAACACCTGAAAATTTTCAAGAATATTCTGTGTTTGGGTTATCTTAATATTCAAAAAAATATAAATTTTCATTCTTTAACCCTTTGACTGTCGCGGCCGTATATATACGTCTTACAAGGTACCGTGTTTGACATATATATACTCATAAATTCTAGCGGCTTCAAATCAAGCTGGAGAAAGCTTGTAGGCCCACATGTGAGAGAATGGGTCTGTGTGGTCAGTGTGCACCATATAAAAAAAATCCTGGAGCACGCAGTGCATAATGAGAAAAAAAAAACTCCGACCGTTTTTTTTTTTTAATTAAAATGCCGACTTTGTGGTCTATTTTCGTATAGTATTTATGGTTGTATTTTCGTTTTCTTGATCTCATTTGATAGAATGGAAAACATGTTATAGAAATAGAGGTGATTTTGATTGATTTTACTATAAAAAGAACCTAGAAATGGAGCTCAAAATAAGGGAAATGTTTGATTTTTGCCAATGTTCAAAAGTAAACAAATGATGCCATTGTCCAATAAATGTCCAACTAGCCATTCTAATATGCAGTCATGAATGGGTTGATGTTATTTATACAATTATTACAGTATTGCAGTAGTCTTCATAATAGTAAGTCTTCTATTTTTTTTTTAATAAAAATTCAAAATAGAAAGCAAGAGTAATATCAGAGGGGCCTGGAGACATGACTGATGAACAAAGAAAATGTTATTTTAGAGTCAGGAATGTCTGCATTGTTCATTCTGGACCTTATTTTGAAATTGTCATATTTTTTAGTTTTCGTGAAATTGGCCAAATTGCAAATTTCTGACCACATTATTAGGTAGTTGAAATCGGTAAATGGGCAGCTTCTTGTACTCAATCGATAGAAAAAATGGAGTTCTAAAGAAATAGCTATGAGTTTGGGCGACTGGCACAACGGAATTAGCCAAAAATAGGGCTCAAAGTGGGCGAAATCGCCGATTTGTAAACAGCGCTGAGGTCGCTAACTTCGCGAGAGCATAATTCCCTCAGTTTTCCATCAAATTTCGTTTTTTTGGTGTCATCACCAGGAGACACCTCAGGATTGGGGGTTGCGACAGTCAAGGGGTTAAAAATCAGACTTTTGGTAGTTATCTGAATTTTGGGAGCACATTCGTTATTGAAATTTTCGGTTACTAACTAAATAATTACTTAATGTAATTATTTAGTCAGATTTTTCAAAACTTACAAAAGTTTCTAAATCTTAAAATTTGTTTAATTTTTTAAATTTGCTTTCTTTTTCAGAATTTCCCCTTGTTATTACAGTATTAGGAAAGTGCTAAACCCATAATGATAATGATGATGATAGACTTCATTGCTACAAAATATGGTTTACAATTGATTCAGAAAAATGTGATACTGACTTGCTTTCTAGAAAGCCTCTGGTATCTTGCCACACTCAACACCTTTGTTAACAAGGAGCTACTAAAAATATCTACTTGGATGACAGCCAATAAACTTACACTCAACACTGACAAAACCTTCTATATCATGTTTGGTAACAGAGCTGGTGTTGTACAACTGAATATTAAGATCGACAACACTCTTATTGCTAAACATAATGAGGGCAAATTCCTGGGCCTACACATCAACAGCAACCTGAAATTCAGCACCCATATCCAACACACAACAAAAAAAGTATCTAAAACGGTCAAGATCCTCTCCAAGATATGCTACTACGTGCCACAATCGGCCCTTCTCATAGTATACTATTCACTCGTCTATCCCTACCTCACCTATGCTATTTGTGCTTGGGGATCAACAGCAGCAACACACCTAAAGCCAATAATAACCCAGCAGAAAGCCGCAGTAAGAATTATCGCACAATCCAATACTAGGCAACATCATCCCCCCACACACACACTTTAAAGATCTAAACTTACTGTACAGAACATCCACACTTACTACTGTGCAACCTACATTTACAAAACCATAAATTCTAGTATTAACCCTGAGCTAAAACACTTTCTTGATAGTTGTGACAGGACCCTCAGGCACAACACCAGGCACAAAAATATTTAACATTCCCTGTGTCTGGCTAAACTTGTATAAAAATTCATTGTACATTAAAGGGCCTAAAATCTGGAACTCCCTACCTGAAAACTCTAGAATTGCAGACACAACCATCACTTTCAAAACTACCATTAATAAACATCTCCCTGACACACCCCACTGTCAGCTAGCTACATGAAAACCACCTATTCTCTTGTATCATGCACACATGAAAAACAAACTAAACCTACTCTCTATATCTGTGATTCCCCCCAATTTACACTTACACTCGCCCAAATGATGGTAAAAATAAAATTTTGAATAAAGCTATTGCCTAACAAATCTTAAACTTGTCATAAGTTTGCCTGAGATACTCCCATATAGGAGCTTTAATAGAAACTGTGTATCATGCCAAGATGAAACCATTCTCAATGCTAAATTTACAAACTAACTTTAATTTCAATATGCTCCATAACCTGAATCAATATAGTTAGAATTATTATTAGTCTGCCCGAAATGCCAAGTCATGTTAGTGACCCTCTTTGTAATTAATATTTTATAGTATGTAAACCACACATTGTAATCTTTACAGAGAAATACCTCTTCAAGGGGGGCTCCTTGTTGTGGTGAAGAGGCTCTTGGTCTGAGGAATCAGACCTGTCGGTCTCCTTCCTCAGACCGAACCTAATTACCCCCCAATCCCCCCCTCCCTATCCCATCCTCCCCTTTTTCCTTTCCTCCTCCTCCTCCCCACCCCTCCCTTTTGCTCTTCCTCTTTTTGGCCTTTGGGATTTCTCCCACAGGCGCGCTAGTTCCTAGGTAGGGGAAAGGATACCGGGGACCATCCCATTCCGTTGAGGTTCTTGGCGGTGGCGTAGTTTGCCGTGGAATCTGGATCGCCTGGGGATGTTCCGATCCCTCTCCGGTATCCCGGAGTAGCTTTAGGTGTCTTTCGGGCGACGGGTGTATCTCTGGAAGCCACCTTTCGGATTCCGGGGGTGGTGGCCGAAGGAGGTATGCTTTGTGGCGGATATCCGGCCGCCCTCTCTTTTGTCCACCGAGGTAGCTCGGCAGATGTGAGGTTGCTATCCCGGATTGCTGGTTTACTGGCATGAAGGGTAGGGTATGGCACGGGTTCCATGCTGCATCTGTGCTACTAGTGGTGCTGAGGTCCTCTTGGGCGTGGAGGGAGATTTCCGGCCCTTTCATTCCTCCTGGGAACTATTCCTCCCCGCTCCCCCCTTTTTTATTCTTTTTTTTATTTTTATTTTCTTTTCTTTTTTTTCTTAAAAACAAAAAGCAAAGGAGTAACCTAACCATGGAGAACCCAATCCATGAACCCACTACCCCCGGGCCCCTTCTTGATACCGCACCCCATTCTGACCCTCTTCGGACACTCCTGATGCCCCTGTACCTCTTGCTGGTGCTGTTTCCTCACCCGCTTCAGGTACCGGGGCTTCGACTGACTCCTTCGATTTGTTTGACCTCCGACTCTCCTTTGACTATGCCTCCAGCCTCTCCCTCTATGGTACGGCAATTTTCGAATCGCCAGCCCATTTCACGCCGGACCAACTCCGGTCCTACTCCTAAATGCCAACGTCAATCTCCTGATGATGCTCCTTCGTTACCTTCCCATTCTACTCGGAAAAGACCGACACGTCATGCACTCCCTCTCCACGCTCGGTTTCGGACCACACAATGGACTAAATTCTTTACTTTAAGACCGACTTCTTCTTCTGCCTATCTTTCTGACCATAGTATTGGCAAAGCGCTCCTGCGTCATGTAGGTAGAGATATTTCATTTCATGCTCTCGAGCGGTACGCGCATCGTCACTGTCCAGAATGCTACCCAAGCTCATGATCTTGCTCTCCTTTCGAATATCGATACTACTACTATCACTATTGAAAAACATCTTTCTCTCAATTCTTGTAGTGGTACTGTCATTCTGCCCCATACCATAGTCCAACAGAATATCCAGTCATGCGCAATGACATTTTTGAACAGCTAGAACTCCAGGATCTCCCAATCCTCAAAGTAGACACTTATGTCCTTCCTGCCCGTGGGCGGAGACGTTACCCTTGCAATGTGGCTCGTTTAACTTTTGACAGCCGAGAACTCCCGTCCTCTGTATATGTCGCGGGACATCGGTTACAAGTTCGAAAGTTGATACCTACACCGCAACAGTGTAGAAATTGCTGGCGTTTTGGTCATCCAGCGAAATATTGCAGATCTATTGCCGAATGCCCAGTCTGTGGTGCCGACGACCATTCTAATACATCTTGCAGTCAACCTCCATCTTGCCTTAATTGTAATGAAGCTCACCCTTCGTACTCCCGCCGTTGCCAGGTCTACTTAAATGAATGTGAAATCCGTTGCCTCAAAGAGGCAGAAGGTCTCCCTTATGCTATGGCAGTTACTCATCTCCGCCTCCAAGGGAGACTACCCCGTGTTTCTTATTCTCGTGTTTCCAAACATCCCCCCACTTCTGGGGTCCCATCTTCTGCAGCCTCATCTGTTGTTACCCCTCCCATAGCCACTCCGGCATCTAATCCTTTTGGTGTCCTTGGCTCTGATGTCCCGCTACAACTCGGCCTGTTCTCACATCTTCACATCCTTCCTCACAAGCCCCAGTATCGACAAGACCTCGTACGACACCTAATACCAATCGCCCCTCTACTTCTCAGAAGTCCAAAAAATCCACATTGCTCAAATCTTCTTTGCCCCTTCCTTCCCTTCTTCCACCTCCACACTACCTTTCCAGTCTCTGTGCCTAGTTCTTCCCCTCTCTCTGGCTCTATTACAAGTGTGGAGATTCACCCTCCTCCTTGTACTATGCCTTCCACCCCCGTCCCCTCCCAAGTTTCTCCCTCTTCTGCCACTTCCCAGGTTTCTGCCTCTTCTGTCCCCCCCCCCACACTTCATCTCTAGTCCCTTACACTCTTTCGTCCCCCTCTACTTTAGTACAGTCCATTACTGTCCCAATCTTTACTCACCCTCCCCCTTCTATCTCCAATATGGTCTCCCATACATCTTTGAATTCAGAAACACTTGAAGCCATTTCAGAATATATTGCAGAGACTAAACCTTCAATGGACACTGATTCACTTCCTGTTCCTTCTCTTCCCTCTCCTCCATCTTCACAACCCCATTCTTCGCAACGCTCCGTTCCTTCGCTGCTTGAACGTCTTCCAATGCCACCACACGTTGACTTTTCTAACCCCTCTAGTCCGTAGGTGCCTTTCCCTACGGATTCCTGGTATTTTCTTCATCGCCAATCATGGCCTATTTACAATGGAATATCCGCGGCCTCGGGTAATCGGGGTGAGCTTCAGATGTTGCTTTCCAGGTTTTACCCTGTTGGTGCTTGCTTACAAGAACCAAAATTACACTCAGCTGTTTTCCAACCTATCTCAGGCTATAATTTATTGTATTCTTTGGATCCTTTCTCAGATGGGACCTTTAATGAAAGTGCCCTTCTTCTACGCAATGATATTCCGTACTGTCAACTATTTGTCCATACCTCGCTGCATTACACTGCAGCCCGTATCCACTTGAAAATGCTTCTCGAGCATTTTCTATCCCAGACTTTGCCTTTCTTGTTTCATCCTTACCACCACCACTTCTGTTACTTGGTGATTTTAACGCCCACCATTTCCTCTGGGGGGGGGGTCTCATTGTGACTCACGTGGCATCCAGTTGGAGGCTTTTCTCGCCTCTCACCCCCTCCATGTTTTAAATACGGGTACTCCCACCCATTTTGATCCTCGTACTCATACTCTCTCTTGCATCGATCTATCAGTCTGCTCTTCCTCCACTGCACTAGACTTCACCTGGTCTGTTCTACCGCACTTACGTGACAGCGATCATTTTCCAATCATTCTTACTTCTTCATATTCACCACCTTTCCGTAACCCTCGCTGGCAATTTGATCGAGCAAATTGGGACCTTTACTCGCAGCTCACTGCTTTTAGTGAGGTTCCTTCTTCATCCTCCATTGATGAGCTCCTACACCTCTTCTCGACGTCAGTTTATACCGCAGCTTCTCATTCTATACCCCAAACCTCAGGCAAGCATTCTCAGAAGTGCGTGATTTGGTGGTCTCCTGCTTGTGCTCATGCAGTATGTTTGAAATGCGCTGCATGGGGCAGGTACTGATACAATAGAACCAATGAGAGACTTCTTGATTTTAAGCAGAAGCGTGTGATCGCTCGCAGTGTCATCTGTGATGCTAAACGCACTTGCTGGCGAGACTGTTTCCACCTTCACCTCTGCTTCCTCTGAGTAAAGTCTGGAAAAAAGTGAGGAAATTGAGTGGTAAATACTCTCCTGACCCGGCTCCTGTTCTACGGGTCGCCGGTATTGATGTAGCAAACCCTCTTGGGGTCTGGTCCGTATTTCCCGGGGGCTCCATCTATGCCCCTTATTTCTTTCCTCAAAGTCTGCCAGAGTTAGTACCCTTGGACTTTTCTTCTCTGAGGGAAGAACAGTATAATGTGCCTTTTACACTTCAGGAACTGGAGGCAACACTCTCAGCTTGCCGATCATCGGCAGCTGGACCTGACGACATTCATATTCGTATGTTACAACATTTACATCAGTCAGCCGTTTTAGTCCTCTTACACCTCTTCAATCTTATTTGGGCACAAGGAGTTCTTTCCCAGCTGTGGAAATCTGCCATTGTTCTCCCTTTCCGCAAACCGGGTACTACAGGACATGATGCCTCCCACTATCGTCCCATCGCTCTTACTAGTGCAGTTTGCAAAGTGATGGAACGTCTCGTAAATCGACGTTTAATGTGGTATTTAGAGACACACAACAGTCTCTCCGCTAGTCAATATGGCTTTCGTAAGGGTCGTTCTACCATAGACCCCTTACTTCGCTTGGATACGTATGTTCGTAATGCCTTTGCGAATAATCACTCAGTTATTGCCATATTTTTTGACCTTGAGAAGGCATATGACACAACTTGGAGGTATAATATTTTGGCCCAGGCCCATTCCTTAGGCCTCTGAGGCAATCTACCATCCTTCCTTAAGAACTTTTTAACTGACAGACATTTCCGTGTTCGAGTCAATAATGTTCTTTCCCCGGACTTCGTCCAAGCTGAAGGTGTCCCTCAGGGATGTGTTCTAAGCACAACACTTTTTCTCCTTGCTATAAATGATTTGGCCTCTGTTCTTCCACCCAATGTTTGGTCATCACTCTATGTTGATGACTTCGCTATTGCTTGTGCAGGCGCTGACTGTCATCTTATTGCAGTTTCTCTCCAGCATGCGGTCGACCGTGTTTCCACTTGGGCCACCACGCATGGGTTTAAATTTTCAAGTACCAAAACTCACCAAATTACTTTCACTAGACGCTCTGTTATCTCCGATCATCCTTTGTATCTCTGTGGCTCCCGTATCCCCGAACATGATACAGTCAGGTTTCTAGGCCTTCTCTTTGACCGTCGGTTATCCTGGAAACCTCACATAACCTCTCTGAAGGCAATTTGTCACAGCCGGCTAAACCTTCTTAAAACCCGTGCTCATCTTTCCTGGGGAGCTGATCGTCGAACTCTGCTTCGCCTACATTCAGCCCTCGTTTTATCGAAACTCGATTATGGTGACCAGATTTATTCCGCGACCTCTCCTGCTACTCTCTCTAGCCTTAACTCTATCCATCACCAAGGATTACGTTTGTGCCTTGGTGCTTTTCGCTCTTCCCCTGTTGAGAGCCTCTATGCAGAAGCGAATGTTCCATCCTTGTCTGATCGCCATGATGCCCATTGCCTTCGCTACTATGTACGCTCTCACGATCTACACAATCCTTCCATTTATAGAATGGTCACCGATATTAGTAGACATTCTTTATTCGTTCGCCGCCCCTGTTTGCTCCGTCCCTTTTCTCTTCGCCTACATTCACTCTTGTCTTCCCTTCAGTTACCTTTATATGTTCATGTAGCATCTCACTTTTCCCTACCCCCCTGGGAAGTTCCAGCTGTTCGGGTCTGTTCTTTCTCACTCCCTTGCTCGAAAGCTCAACTGCCTACGGTGGCTTCCCGCTCTCTTTTTCTTGATCACTTCCACTCCCATTCTCATGCCACCGCTGTGTACACAGATGGCTCTAAGTCTTCAGACGGCGTCGGATTCGCAGCAGTGTTTCCGGACAGCGTCGTGCGGGGACATTTACTATCTTCAGCTAGCATTTTTACTGCTGAACTGTATGCCATTCTTGCAGCACTTATTTGTATCGCATCTATGCCTATGTCATCATTTGTAGTAGTCTCAGACTCCCTTAGTGCTCTACGAAAATTTGATACATCTCATCCCCTAGTTCTCCGTATCCAACTTTGGCTACACCGTATCTCTACCAAACATAAAGATATTGTTTTTTGTTGGGTCCCTGGTCATGTCGACATACAGGGCAATGAACAGGCAGACACTGCTGTGCGGTCAGCAGTACATGACCTACCAATTTCCTATCGAGGTGTTCCATTTCTTGACTATTTTGCTGCAATAGCTAGCCACCTTCGCACCCGTTGGCAACAACGTTGGTCAACTCTGCTCGGTAACAAACTTCATTCTATTAAACCGAGCATAGGTTACTGGCCGTCTTCTTGTCATCAGTGCCGAGGTTGGGAGACCACTCTCTCCCGCCTTCGCATTGGCCACACTCGTCTTACTTATGGGTAATCTCATGGAGAGGCACCCTGTTCCTCTCTGTGAGCAGTGTCAAGTTCCAGTATCGATAGCCACATTCTGTTAGACTGCCTCTCTATCAACGAGCACGCAGAATTTACCTCCAACGTCGTCTTCGTTCTACTGCTCTCTCTTTACCTTCCCTTCTTGCTGATGGACCCTCCTTTAATCCTGACTCTCTCATTGACTTCTTGACAACGACTGATTTACTCCACAAACTCTGATGATACTTTTCACACTCCCCTCAGCCCTTTCTAGTTCAGTCTCTTGCTGCCCTTTACCCTTTCACCATCCACTGCCCCGCTGTTATCTGTAACCTATTACTCATTCATCTCCCTTTTGCCACCTGATGCCCTCGCTTCCTTCCTGCCCTGCAGCGCTGTATAGTCCTTGTGGCTTAGCGCTTCTTTTTGATTATAATAATAATAATGCGTATAACATTTCTTGGCCTGAAACCAAACTAGCTGGGGTTGAGTATATTGTGGGACACTAGGAAATAGGGTTACATAGCACAAGGAATTAATTGAGGGCAATCAGGTTGGATCTAAGGGGAGAATAGGTCCAGTTTCTTGGATCAATAGCACTTCCTCTACATCACAGTACCTTCCTTGAGGTGTCCCACTTTCAGAAATTTGGTAGAGCTGTATATTAATTTTATAGAAATCTAGTTCATATTTTTAAATGTTTAAAGAAATTTGTTCATTTATTGGTGGAAAAAAACATATAGTATATTGTACGTACAGTATTATAATTTTTGTAAATATATTGAGAATTTAAATTTTAAAATTATTGTTTTAAAGAAATTCCAGAAGAATCCTAGATGTTATTTTTTCATATTGTTTGAAGTACCCCTCATGAGAGGTCCCCTTAATCCCAAGAATTAAACTGCCTTTCATTTCTTGGGTTGAACCTGAATGCCTTCTATGCCTGCAGGTGTAATATTATTACAGAGAATAATGAGAAAGATGAGTTTATATCATGGGACTAAAGGTTGCATTCTGCTCACCATTTCTTTAACCTTATCTGTAAGATTGAAGTGGTCAATTTAAGTGTGAAGTTTACATCTTTTAAGGGTCCCCCATACAAGGATAACACATTGGGTGTTGTTCCATTGCCATAGGAAATCCTTTTGGTGCAATCTAAGACATCTGTGAAGGCTTTAATCACATTGTTGTTACACAAAGGTGGCTGCACATAATAGATATTACCAAGTCAGGGGACGGGGTAGATGTTAGTACGAAGGATGTTTTCACCTAATGGTTTTCTTTAACCCTTTCAGGGTCCGTCCCGTAGATCTACGGCTTTACGTTCAGGGTCCAAACCGTAGATCTACGTCATGAGCTCAGCTCACTGTGAGTGGTACATTTGGGCCTAGATATGAGAGAATACACCTATGTGGTATGTGTGCACCACATAAAACAAATCCTGCAGCACACTGTGTATAATGAGAGAAAAAAAAAACTAAGACCATGATTTTCGATTAAAACAGTGACTTTGCAGTGTTTTTTTCATATGTTTTTTATAGTTGTATTTGCGATTTCTTGGTCTCATTTGATAGAATGGAAGACATATTACAGAAATAGAGATGATTTTGATTGGTTTTAGCACTGGAAATGGCTTGAAACTGAGCTCAAAGTAGCGGAAATGTTAAATTTTTGCTGATGTTCAAGAGTAAACAAACGACCTCACACGTCTAATACACGCCAGCTGGTGGGTCTAATATACATTCACAAATGTGGTGATGATATTTATACAATTATTACAATATTGCATAACAGTAAATCATCATCTTTTTTGGTGTGAATAAAAAATCAAAATGGAATTTATTTGTAAAGCCTCAAAACGTATTATTATTATTATAATCAAAAAGAAGCGCTAAGCCACAAGGACTATACAGCGCTGCAGGGCAGGAAGGAAGCGAGGGCATCAGGTGGCAAAAGGCCTCAAAACGTAACTAATGAACAGAGGAAATGTTAGTTTAGTGCCAGTAATACCTACATTGTTTATTCTGGATACTATTTTGAACTTTGTGTTAAATTGGCCAAACAATCGATAGAATAGAAGTAATACTAGTGAAATGGATAAGAATTTGGTCGACTGGAATAATGTAATTGGCCTAAAATAGGAGTCAAAGTTGGCAAAATCGCCGATTCGTAAATATCGCTGACACATCAAAATTTGCAGGGCATAATTTCGTCAATTTTCCATCAAATTTCGTACTTTTTGTTTTATTACCTTCAAAAAAAGATTCTCTACCATTTCATAAGAATTTTTTTTTTTTTTTTTTTTTTTTTTTTTTTTTGAAAATTCTTGGACACTGGGGCACCACTTCAGATTTTGGCCTTGGACCCTGAAGGGGTTAAGCCTTTGATGAAGTTTGATTGTTAGCTTTTCTTACCAACCAAACTTTTTTAGCCTTTCACTTCTAGCAGCATCGACTGTGGTACCAATGTATATTTTTTAACATGTTGGCTGTCTCCCACTGGTGCAGGGTAAACTAAAACAGTTTCACTATCATTCACACAAAATCAGTCTTTGTAGAGACCCAATTTAGATGTCAGCCCAAATCCCTCCCTTAAAGTGCAGGCATTGTACTTCTCACCTCTGGGACTAATTCTGGCTAACCAGTTTCCCTGGATCCCTTCACAAAATATTACCCTGCTCACACTCCAACAGCTCATCAGGTCCCAAAAACCGTTAGTCTCCATTCACTCCTAACCTGTGCATGTCTAGGCCACTTTTGCACACCTGCCAGCTGTTCCATGCTTATAGGATGTATTGTTTTAGCTTATTGCAATAAATGCACAAGGGCCATACAGCTGTTTTATCTTATATCCTGGCTTCCTAAAAATATTAAACACCTATTGCCTTGGTCTCTCTAAAGAAGTGCTGTAGATGGTTACTGCCGTAATGGTTACCTACGGTTCCTGTTTTAAGCATTTCATTTTTTATTGTAATAATAATAAATTCCTGTTTAGCTAAAGGTGAAAGGAAAGAAAAAAATGGTCACTTATACCTAAAAGTGATCTATTCACACATTTCAAGAAAAGATATTGAGCCTGGATGCCTTCCATACCTGACCTCCCCCCACAGGTGCTGTATAATCCTATGGTTTTAGCTCTTCCATGATTATAATAATCAAGAAGAAAGGGTCATTGGGTAGACTGCATGATTACTCTCGACAATAGCTTTGCAGTTTAAATGATTATGTACGACCCTTTATGTTTTCTTTAAAATATAGTAGGATTTCAATTGAAACATTTAATTTTGTTGTAAAATATAATTTACATACAAAGCTATTAAATACAAATCAAACGAGTAGCTGTAGCAAGCCTTCTTATTTTTTACATAGTGATAGTCCAAGTTTTATATTAAAAAAGTATAAACTACCTATGAAGTTGTAAGAATGAAAATAATATAATTTGAGAATCATAATATTTCAAAACTCATTGAATGAATTCAAAGAACTAAAAACAATTTCTTGATTAGCATTTTCACAAGACTTAAATCTTAAGTTAAAAAAGTACACTTAAATTGCCTTTATATATACCAAAATCTGTTAGTTTCCTTCTATGCTACAATAGCAAAAAAAATTCATTTTCATATTCATTTTTTTCTGTCTTCTCACATGATTATCACAGATAGTATACTAAAATAATCTAGCTACAATGCAAAAGTTCATGTGATACACTACAAAGTTATATTTCATCTTACCAACCTGGGTTATAAATTATATCTATGCAAATTGCCCCCTTTTTTTTTATTTTGTTTGAAATCTTGCCTCTATATAATGGTTAAATTTCTCAACCAATATTTCTAATATATAATGTTATTCAGAAAGCTCAAATCAATTAAGTGGCATATGCTAAGTTACAAAATGCAACTTTCTACTGAAAAACCCCTCACCTTACCTGTATATCTGACTCAAATTATGACAGCTTTTATGCAACCTTAAAAAATCTTGTCATTTAAGAAATGCTACACTAGTCATTCCCTGTTGTATAATCCTATGGGTTTAGCACTCCCCTATGATTATTATAATTAAACATTCTTCAATTTGTTATACCAAAAACACATTCTGTGATTATATATAGGTACTTAAAATACAATGTTATAATATGCTTGATCTACTGTTGCCATACATGTACATAATTATCAAGGCAGTTATGCAAGGATTAAAGCAATCATAGAAGCAAAATTAAAAATGTAGCTTTGGCTGTTCAATTCTGAGCCACAAATTCTCACTGTATACTGTATTTATATCACTTAAAATAATAAATGTATGCAACAATTCTAATTACATAAAATGAAATCCTGACTAAAACATAGGATTTGGGGAGAGTCAATAAGTATTTATTTCTCCATATTGTAGCTATATCACTTCTGTATTTGATCTTTAATAAAGAACTTTTCAAAATGACATTTTTTCCTACTAAGTATTACTTTATTTTGGTTTCATATTTTATGTTTATGTCAACCAGATTGGGAAACTTTTGGACTAACTAATGTACAGTCTACTTCATTTACCTTTTTCGAGGCTTGTTACTCTGAATTGACGCACATTTAGGAATGTGCCTCTCAGCTGATGCTTCTGCAAATTTGCGTCCACAGTGTGGACAAGTAACATAATCTGAATTATCAATAGGTGGAGGTTCAGTGCCGGATTTTGCTGCACGAATTGTTGCTATGAAGTCTTCGTGCTGCTTTTTCCAATCTTTTTTCTTGGGCTGTTAAAAAATAGAAAAAGTAAAGTATTTGAAATTTATTAGTACAATATATTATAGATGCTCTTTCATTAAGCTGGTCAACTGCCCCTAAACTTTCAAATGTATTGAGTGATGGATAAAATTTTTTTTTTTTTTTTTTAACTTTCAAATTATGCTGTAATAAAAGTATCTTGCAAACTAAACATTTTTACTTTAATCAGAAGAAACAGCAAACATTGAACTAAGTTAAAGGAATCTTACAGGACCCAAGATATGCAGGAAGAACTAAAAGCCATAAATGAAATTGAAAAACACAAAATATTTCTTTTCTTATGCCAAATAAAAGTTGAGAACAACATCCAGTATTGGGCCCTTACTTAAATGAGATGGGTCCTACAAAGATGACAGCAAGGAAATGAGTGAGCTACTCAAGTCCCAATATGACTCGGTTTTTAGTGAGCTGTTAACCAGACAGTCAATGACCTAAATGAATTTTTTATGAGAATTTGGTAGACTAACGTATCTGATGTTATCCCGACGCCAAATGACTTTGAAAAGGAAATAAATAACATGCCCATGCACTTTGCCCTAGGCACAGATTCATGGAATTCCATGTTCATCAAGAAGCCCCTATCATGTGCTATTAACATCATATGGAGAGGGAGCATGGACACAGGGTCATCCCACAGCTGCTAAAAACAAGACATAGCCCCACTCCACAAAGGGGGCCAGTAAAGCAATAGCAAAGACCGATAGCACCAATGTCCCATATCAGAAAAATCTTTGAAGGGTTCTGCTGTATAGCCCTTGTGGCTTAGCACTTCTTTTTGATTATATAATAATTTGAAGGGTTCTAAGCAGCAAGATTGCCAACCATCGGTTACACAACCCAGGGCAATGTGGGTTGAGAGCAGGTCACTATGACAAGGTCCAAATGCTCTAAAGACAAACAAAACACAGATGTAATATACACAGACTTTGCAAAAGCCTTTAGACAAGTGTGACCATGGTGTAATAGTGCACAAAATGCATGATAAAGGAATAGCAGGAAAAGTTGGTAGATGGATCGTTAATTTCCCAACAAATAGAACACAGCAGTAAACAGAGTGAAGTCTGAGGTGGCTACGGTGAAAAGCTCTGTTCCACAAGGCACAGTACACTCTCCCATCCTGTTCCTCCTATCTGACAGACAGGGATGCAAGCCACAGCACCTTTGCAGATGACACCCAAATTTGTATGACAGTGTCCTCCAATGAAGACACCAGGTGGACATCAACCAAATCTTTAAATGGGCTGTAGAAAACAATATGAAGCTCAATGATGAGAAATTTCAATTACTGTACTCAGATATGGAAAATGTGAGGAAATTAAATCTATATCAGATTATAAGACAAATTCCAACCACACAATAGAGCAAAAGACCTTGGAGTGATGATGTCAGAGGATCTCGCCTACAAATACCATAACAGTGTAATCAATCACATCTGCAAGAAAATGAACCTTCAAAACTAGGAATGCCAAGCCCATGATGACACGCTTCAGGTTGCTTGTTCTATCTAGGCTGGAATATTACAGCACCTTTCAGGGCAGGTGAAAATGTACAGAGAACCTTCACAGCACACACAAATACGATAAAACACTTAAATTACTGGGCATGCTTGAAGTTTCTCAACCTGTACTCCCTAGAATGAAGGCAGGAGAAATGCATGATAATATACATTTGGAAAATCCTAGAGGGATTAGTACCAAATTTGCACATGAAAATCACTCCCTATGAAAGCAAAATACAATGCAACATCCCCACAATGAAAAGCAAAGGTGCCACTAGCACAAAAAGAGAGAACACAATAAATGTCAGGGGCCCAAGACTGTTCAACCGCCTTCCAGCATATATAAAGGGAATTACCAATAGACCTCTGGCTGTCTTCAACAAGGTGCTGGACAGGTACCTGACCAGCCGGGCTGTGGTTCGTATGTCAGGTTGTGTGCAGCCAACAGTAACACCCTGGCTGATCAAGCCCTGATCCGCCAGGAGGTCTGGTCAAAGACGGGGTTGTTGACCCCCAAAACCCTCTCCAGATATACTCCATTAGGAAGCACAGTGAAATTTAAATTAGGAACCCCTAAATTAGGATTATAAGATTATGTTAGGCAATTGGTAAATCCAACTTAACAATAAAAGATTGTAATATAACCATGGATGGGAAATTAAACTCCTTGTATCTCTAACATTCAGGTTACTTATTTAAACTATTGTCATACATAGCCTCTACAATGAAGTAATAACAAATTTACATAACTGTGAAGTTGGTACAAGTGCTCCTTTATTAAAATCACAAATTACATGCAGCACAGTAAATTTGAGCCATCCGCTTTGGAAAAAAAAATAGTATGGCTCTGAATGTTGTGGCATACAGAACCCCAGAGTACTTATTATTTCAAAGAAAGCTGCCTGATTTGGTAATGTGATCTATTAATTTGGCCTGCATTTTCTCTTATATAGTACTTGCTCAATGCAAGTAACATTCATAACCTGGTTCAACATTACCAACTTAGAGTAATCAATATCATCAGTATACAGGTGATAACACTAAATTTCTCCTGAAACTCTCATTTCCTTATCCACAGACTGCTTAATCCTACACAATGGAAATAAATCACTGACTTTTTTGGGTTATCCTAGTTTCTCTACACATATGCTGCTATGTATGATAATTCTATGTAACTATTTGTGTATACCTGAATAAACTTAATTATTTTACTACTGAATGTGATAGTGAATATGTATTCTTTTATGGGTCACCCTACCTCTGAGACAGCTTGATGTTAAAAAAATTCATAAAATCTTAGTAAATGCTACATTGTTCTTGAGAATATGAATGGTATGTGTAATCAATTTAGGCAAATGGACACATTTACAATGTTGATGTTTTATTTGAACTACATTTTGCTTGCTGGAAGCTTTAAAAAGTGCCCAGTGAGTAAAAATAGGTGAAATAAAGTATTACAGTAGAACCCCCATATCCGTGGTTTCAGTCATCCATGGTTTACTGTGACCCAAAAATACCTCTTAATTTTGCATAATAATGGCACAAAAGTAGAGAAGCTAGCAGTTCTTCAAACCCTAAGAGAAACCGTGAAGTGCTTCCCATCATTGAAAAAAGTGATAATTCTCCACTTATTGTGCATAATTTATCAATTAAACTTTATAATAGGTATGTGTAAGACTTGTATATAAGGTCTGCTACTATGCATGGTTTCGGTATCTGTGGCAGGTCCTTGGAATGTATTTCCCGTGGATAAGGGGGGGGGGGGTCCTACTGTACACACATTTGCAACATTTAGGTATTTAACAGGTGGAAATTATAGGGCCTTCACTCTGAAGGAGGGATGGAGATGTTGCAGTTTGGAGGGTCATCTGAATTGTGAAGTTAGCACACTTTTGCTAAAAGTGATGAAATTAATGTTGGTGAAATGTTCTTTTTCTTTTTCAAGGTCGCCCTACCTCTACGGGAACTGCTGTGTTAAAAAATTAATGTTTACCCCTGATTAACAAACTTTTACCTATTGCACTGTTTCTGTAACAACATTTATTTTTGTGCTTAGCTAAGAAGTCCCTAGTTAGGTTTGTCAGGAAACAGGACATATTCTTCCTGATGCAGGTCTTCATCATATGATGACCCACAGCTGGGAAGTCCCTAGTGAATTAGTGTACTGTATATACAGTGCTAGTCACGTCATTATGCTGCCCCTTCCCCACACACATACCATGAAAGATTTTAATATACACTGTATATATATTTGCACGCTTACTGAGGCGGTCTGTATAGCCCTTGTGGCTTAGCGCTTCTTTTTGATTATAATAATAATTACTGAGGCGGTTAATCACGTCCCTCAGCTGTGTAGAAAGACACAAATTCTTGAGGGTTTGCAGAGGTATATTATTCCATGCCTCGTGTAGAGCAGCCTCCAGCTGTGGGATGGAACTCGTATCCTTGCCCAGTAAACTTTGTTTCACCAGAGGTTTTGAATAGGGTTTAGGTCTGGGGAATTGCCTGACCAGTCATTAAAGAACTTCATTTGACAATCCTTAAGCCACTGAACTACAGATTTGGTGGTATGACATAGAGCACTGTCCTGCATTAAAACTAGCCCCACACTTGTCAAATGCCTCAGGTAAATTGTCACACAATAACTCTAGGTAATGTACTGGTTTTTAGGAAGCACAATGAGTTCACCCACACTCTGAGCACTGAAACACCCCCAAACCATGAGCAAGGCTGGGTGTTTGGTGGTCCCACAGGTGTAGCGGGTCACTACCACTGGGCCGGTACACATGTCCCCCATGGTTACAGGTGACGGGGAAGGTTGCTTCAACACTCCAAAGTGCTTCAGACCACTGTTGAGGATTCCAGTGAAGATATTTCTTTGTAAAATCCAGCCTACGCTTCTTCTGTGGCTTGGAGAGGATTGGTTTCTTAACCTGGTGGTGATTACTGTAACCCAGTTCTGACATGTCTGTTAACCCTTTCAGGGTTGGTGCTGTACTAGTATGCATAAATTCTAGCGAGAGAAAGCTGGTAGGCCTACATATGAAAGAATGGGTCTGTGGTCAGTGTGCGCGGTATAAAAAAATCCTGCAGCACATAGTGCATAATGAGAAAAAAAAAAACTCCGATTGTGTTTCTGGTTTAAAACAGCGACTTTGCAGTGTATTTTCGTAAGCTATTTATGGTTGTATTCTAGTTTTCCTTGTCTCATTTTATAGAATGGAAGACATATTACAGAAGTTGAGATGATTTTGATTGGTTTCACAATGAAAAGTACCTTGAAATTGAGCTTAAAGTAGAAGAAATTTTCAATTTTTGCAAAATTCAAAGGTAAACAAATCATGTCACACGTCAACTGGTGAGTGTAATATTCTTTCACAAGTGCCCTGATATTATTTATACCATTTCTACATAAATGCAGTAGTCTGCATAACATAAATCTTCTATTTTTTTGAGAATAAAAATTCAAAGTGGAAAGCAAACGAAATGTAACAGAGGCCTGGGGACATGAGTAATGAACAGAGGAATGTTATTTTAGTGCCATAAATGTCTGCCTTGTTTATTCTGGACCCTATTTGGAAATTGGCATCTTTTGAAATTTGTGTGAAATTGCCAATTTCTGACCATGTTATTGGATAATGGAAATCGGTAAATAAGTGGTTTCTTGTACTCATTCGATAGAAAAAAATGGAGTTCTAGGGAAATAGGTATGATTTTTGTCGACTGGTACATTGGAACTGGCCGAAAATAGGGCTCAAAGTGAGTGAAATCGCCGATGCGTAAACATCATCGAGACCGCTAACTTCGCGAGAGCATAACTCCGTAAATTTTCCATCAAATTTCATACTTTTGGTGTCATTATGATCGGGAAAATATTCTCTATCATTTCATAAGAAATAATAATTTTTTTTTTTCGAAAAATTTCCGACCCTGAGAACAAGTTTAGGAGAGACCCTGAAAGGGTTAACAGTTCTTACAAATATGTACCTCTGAGAGATGTGGGTTCTTTTCTTTCAATTCTCTAGCAGTTATCTTAGATGTACTCTCTAACTGCTTCTTTAACACAGTTAAGGTATGAACAGATGTCTTCTTTGAGGGGCCAGGCTGAGGTTTGGCAGACAGTAACTTGACACCGCCACCAGCCTTGAAACGCTGCACCCAGTTCCTCATTGAACGCTCACACACATCAACTTTCTCCATTATTTTTGTCTGGTGCCCAGCTTTGTGAAACCCTATGATTTGAGCTACAGTTTCAGGTGTTAAAGACTTCCTTTTACCCATAATCAAACATGTACAACCCCAAAACCAAAGGGAACACCGGACAAAAGATGGGGCGGACAAGAGACAAAAGTGCAACACTTCCTCTGATCACGGCAGCCATGTGAGCACTGAGGAGTGTGGCAGCAGGCTGTGACGTCATGCTAACGGATGCTACGCAGCATAATGCACTGACAAAAAAAAGACCCCCTCCCCTGTATGGTAGGCCTTTGATTTTCATCACAGAATTATGCCGGGGAGCTCACCCGGCATAATGCAGTGACTAACACAGTACTGGTCAGGGAAGGGAGGGAGTGAGGTGCCTTGCTGCTGGTTAAGAATTGGAGCTACCATTCCACTTCTAGGCTTGATCCTGATTACGTCTTCTTTCCGAGGTGCTATATGACCCCCCAGTGGGTTCAATATTCCCCCATTAATAAATGAAGTGCTACCTCAAACTTATTATCTCTTCCTTTGGTAGGTAAGACAGGGCAACTTTATTCCGAAACATTTGCCTACACAGTAGGCTTCTTCAGTCGAATACATAAAGTAGGCAGGAACAGTAGAGAAGACGATGTAATCAGTCCATCACCCTTGAAGTCGTAGAATTTGAGGTTGTCAATCCTTCAGCCTGGAGAAGTTCAGTTCCATAGTCAGGAACTATCTGAAGATCAAGTGACAGTGCAGAGACTTAAATACTGTCGGAAGGAGAGGTGCAGAGTAGTAGTAGTAGTGAGAATGTAGCCACTGTTGCCTGTGTCTTACCTACCAACCTGTCTGTATTGTATACCATTTTGATGTTCATCTCTCCCTTTCCCCATCTGTCAGTCTTCCTTGGCTTACAGTAATTAACATGTTGAAAGTTATTCATATCTATCAACAATAATAAGAGTACACATACAACACAACAAACATATACTGTAATTTGCTTCTTAAAGATGATTACATCTAAAGAACCAGAGATATGAAATGTGTTACCAAACATTTAGAATGGATAATCAGATTGAAGGGAAATCAGTTAGCTGGACCAGAGTCCTGGAGGTGGAAAATACAGCACTTGCACTGAACTGCAGCTCAAAAATTCATTTGAAATGCAATGTCTGCGTACTTCTGGCATGACAGCTATTGAATGGAGATGAATACATTTCTTGTTTTGGGGTTACCCTACCTTTCTGGAAAATGGCCAGTGTTAAAAGAAATCAGGTAGAATCTTGACAGCAAAGCAACTAAGAACTTAAAAAAAAAAAAGCTGTTCAAAAATATTGCCATTGTCTAAAGACTGCCAAGATAACATACCTTAGGCGGTGCTTCCAAGTGTTTGCCCTTAGCTATGTACTTCTCGGCTTCTGTTCCCTTTGTCCTCATTTTAACAGGATCAAATACCTGGAAAATTGTCAATAGTTTTAAGACAATCAGTATGTTATGCATATTACATGTCTCTTGACAAATTCTTAGATTATTTTGTATCCCATTACTTATATAAATGTTGTAAAGAGTGCAGAGAACAACAGGACATGCATACACTTCAGACAGGTCAAGTCTGCTTAGGAGCAGATACGTTTAAAAAAAACTTCTGATGTACATAATTAACTAGCATTAAATTCAACTTAGCATAGATACATACAGTTATTTAAATATAGATGTACAGTGGACCCCCGCATAGCGAACGCCTTGCATAGCGAACATTCCGCATAGCGAACGCTTTGATCGCTAAAATTTTGCCCCGCATAGTAGACAAAAACCCGCTCAGCGAACTTCGTCCGAGACGCGTCCAATGTGCGGCCTCAGCCAGCCTCACATGTGCCGCCTGTCCCATTGTTTACCAGCTAGCCTCCGCGGTAACATTCAAGCATACACTCGGAATATTTCGTATTATTACAGTGTTTTCGGTTCTGTTTGTTGAAAATAAGTGACCATGGGCCCCAAGAAAGCTTCTAGTGCCAACCCTGTGGTAAAAAGGGTGAGAATTAGTATGGAAATTAAGAAAGATTTTGAAGGGTTTGGGGCTAACCCTGAGAAGCCTATGCCAGTTGTGGAATCCATTGTGCCTACTTCAAAAATTAAGGAAATGTGTGCACAGTGGGTTGAACTGCAAACCTTTATGGATGAAAATCACCCTGACACAGCTGTTGCAAGGCGTGCTGGTGACTATTTCAATGACAATGTTATGGCCCATTTTAGACAAATCGTAAAGGAACGGGAGGTACAGAGCTCTATGGACAGAAAGAAGTCCAGTGACTCTGAAGCTGGTCCTAGTGGCATTAAAAGAAGAAGGGAAGTAACCCCGGAAAAGGACTTGCCTCCTCAAGTGTTAATGGAAGGGGATTCCCCTTCTAAACACTAACACTCTCTCTCCCCTCCTCCCATCCCATCAATCATCACCAGATCTTCAATAAAAGTAAGTGTCATGTAATTGTGCATGCCTTTTTCAGTTTGTGTGTACTAAAATTAACATTTTTTTGTGGTAAAAAAATTTTTTTTTCATACTTTTGGGTGTCTTGCACGGATTAATTTTATTTCCATTATTTCTTATGGGGAAAATTAATTCGCATAGCGAACATTTCGCATAACGACCAGCCCTCTTGCACGGATTAAGTTCGCTATGCGGGGGTCCACTGTACTAGAAAACTGCATGGGATCAATAACACTTTAGAGATGGATTTTTTATTTTTAAAAATATTAAAATATGGTACAGTATGTGGTTAAGGTTGTTAAATAAGGATAATGGATGACAGTGGTACTATCAAGGACATAGAAGTGGTCACAGTGGTGCCTATGCTAACCTTCCTATGGTGTAGATATATACCTAGTTGGACGAATCTTATTGTGGCTAATGCAACAGTCTGGAGTTTTGAGACTCTCTGATCGCGGGTTCTATCCCCGCCCGTGGTATGGTTTGTTTACCTCATGCATGTTATTTGAGCCTGGTATTCTACAATAGCAATTTAATACAAAGCTGCCATTACTATGATCACACAATCAGGTTACACACATTACCACTTTTCAAGTTTAAATTTACTTGTATCAAATATCCACTCTTATTACTATGTATACTCTATATACAGGGCAATCAAAACTAATATAAACTCGGCACTAAAACTCTTCCTGGTGCTGCAGCAATTTTTTTTTTTTTTTCAACAAGTCGGCCGTCTCCCACCGAGGCAGGGTGACCCAAAAAAGAAAGAAAATACTTTCATCATCATTCAGCACTTTCACCACACTCACACATTATCACTGTTTTTGCAGAGGTGCTCAGAATACAACAGTTTAGAAGCATATACGTATCAAGATACACAACATATCCCTCCAAACTGCCAATATCCCAAACCCCTCCTTTAAAGTGCAGGCATTGTACTTCCCATTTCCAGGACTCAAGTCCGACTATATGAAAATAACCGGTTTCCCTAAATCCCTTCACTAAATATTACCCTGCTCACACTCCAACAGATCGTCAGGTCCCAAGTACCATTTACTCCTATCTAACACGCTCACGCACGCTTGCTGGAAGTCCAAGCCCCTCACCCATAAAACCTCCTTTACCCCCTCTCTCCAACCCTTTCGAGGACGACCCCTACCACGCCTTCCTTCCCCTATAGATTTATATGCTTTCCATGTCATTCTACTTTGATCCATTCTCTCTAAATGACCAAACCACCTCAACAACCCCTCTTCTGCCCTCTGACTAATACTTTTATTAACTCCACACCTTTTCCTAATTTCCACACTCCGAATTTTCTGCATAATATTTACACCACACATTGCCCTTAGACATGACATCTCCTCGCTGCTGCATTTACCACCCAAGCTTCACATCCATATAAGAGTGTTGGTACTACTATACTTTCATACATTCCCTTCTTTGCCTCCATAGACAACGTTTTTTGACTCCACATATACCTCAACGCACCACTCACCAATTTTCCCTCATCAATTCTATGATTAACCTCATCCTTCATAAATCCATCGCCGACACGTCAACTCCCAAGTATCTGAAAACATTCACTTCTTCCATACTCCTCCTCCCCAATTTGATATCCAATTTTTCTTTATCTAAATCATTTGATACCTTCATCACCTTACTCTTTTCTATGTTCACTTTCAACTTTCTACCTTTACACACATTCCCAAACTCATCCACTAACCTTTGCAATTTTTCTTTAGAATCTCCCATAAGCACAGTATCATCAGCAAAAAGTAACTGTGTCACTTCCCATTTTGAATTTGATTCCCCATAATTTAATCCCACCCCTCTCCCGAACACCCTAGCATTTACTTCTTTTACAACCCCATCTATACGTATATTAAACAAGACTGCAGCGTGACATTAATGGTGACATTACACATCCCTGTCTAAGACCTACTTTTACTGAGAAGTAGTCTCCCTACTCTTCTACACACCCTAACCTGAGCCTCACTATCTTCATAAAAACTCTTTACAGCATTTAATAACTTACCACCTATTCCATATACTTGCAACATCTGCCACATTGCTCCCCTATCCACTCTATCATACTCCTTTTCTAAATCCATAAATGCAATAAAAACTTCCCTACCTTTATCTAAATACTGTTCACATATATGCTTCAACGTAAACACTTGATCTACACATCCCCTACCCACTCTGAAACCTCCTTGCTCATCCGCAATCCTACATTCTGTCTTACCTCTAATTCTTTCAATTATAACCCTACCATACACTTTTCCTGGTATACTCAGTAAACTTATTCCTCTATAATTTTTACAATCTCTTTTGTCCCCCTTCCCTTTATATAAAGGGACTATACATGCTCTCCGCCAATCCCTAGGTACCTTCCCCTCTTTCATACATTTATTAAACAAAAGTACCAACCACTCCAACACTATATCCCCCCCTGCTTTTAACATTTCTGTCATGATCTCATCAGTTCCAGCTGCTTTACCTCTTTTCATTCTACGTAATGCCTCACGTACCTCCCCCACACTTACATTCTGCTCTTCGTCACTCCTAAAAGATGGTATACCTCCCTGGCCAGTGCATGAAATTACTGCCTCCCTTTCTTCCTCAACATTTAAAAGTTCCTCAAAATATTCTCACCATCTAAGTAGAAATAATTCACATAAAAGGACTCAAAGCCAATACTGCTTCTACTAAAACATTGTAAAAGTTCCCCATCTGCCAGCTGTTTAAAAAAAAACTGAACTTTATCTGATTAATGATAATCGAATATCATTGCCAAAATATTTATAACCTCCCTATCAAGTTTCTGTCCAGCATTTATGTGTGTGTGTGTTTGTTTCCTGTCACCACAACTTTTCCACACAAATATTTCCTATATTACGTAAATGTTCCTTCATTTCGACATTACTGTTGTAACAGGTCTCATTTACTTAGTATGATTATTGTGTTTAATTATCTGCAAACTTAATGGTTACATTTAGCATTCATACAGTAATCTAACCTAAACTAATTAACATGTAATTTTAAGGTGTGTACAATCTGAAGTCTGTCTGAAATGCAATGTATAACTATGGGCTTTTTCGTGTATGACAACCTGTTCAGTCTTATACAAATGTATCAGCTGGAAAATGAACCTGTAACTCATTTGTGCCTCTGTAACCTATTGGTATTACTGAGTGCTGCCCACAGGATGCATATATGGGTACATGTGAAAACTCTTACAGAAATTCAGAATGTATTAAGACATTGAATCATTTTCTAAACATTTTAAGTTACAACTGACTTTAATATCTTGAAAAATAGTAAGCATCACAAATTTCATGCAGAGGGGTTTAATTTACCATCTAAATTGTGAACAACTATTTGTATTTGACATTGAATAAGGAGTACCGAGGGCCAAATTGCCATCCTGAACTTATACAGTGGAACCTCAAAAATCGAACGTATCACATATTGAACGTTTCGAAAATAGGACCATTTTTTCGGACAAACTGTGTCCCTATTATCGAACGTGCCCCTATTTTTGGACCGCCAGGTACGGGACCTGTCTGCCACCCGCTCTTGTCCGCGTCCCCGCACAGGCGCCGTGAGCGGTCTAGCTTTGTTTATGCTTGAGTGAACACTAACCTGCGCTCTCATTCATGCATTTTACTATTATTTCGTTGTGTTTAGTGCTTGTGGGACTGAAATAAGCTGCCATGGGCCCAAAGAAACTTGCTAGTGGTACCCCTGTGGTAAAGAAAGTGAGAAACACCATAGATGTGAAGAAGGAAATAATACAGAAGTATGAGAGTGGTGTGAGACTTGTTGAGCTTGCCAGGATGTATGGGAAAAACAAGTCGACCATCGGTTCTATCCTGTCAAAGAAAGAACAAATCAAGGAAGCTGATGTTGCAAAAGGTGTTAATATAGGGAGTGGATGAGGTGCCTTCTTCAAAGATTAAGGAGATTTGTGCCAATTGGAATGATGTCCAAATGTTTGTGCAGAAGTACCACCCTGAGCAAGCTGAAACAAGCCATCTTTGCAACAAGTTCAGTGACAGAACCATGTCCCATTTTAGGGAAATGTTAAAGAGGCACCAGAAACAGACGACTGTGGACAGTTATTTTGTGAGACAGGGGTCCAGTGACTCTCAAGCTGGTCCTAGTGGCATTAAAAGACAGAAGGGAAGTAATCCCAGATAGGGCTTTACCTGAAGTCCTCATGGAGGGGGATTCTCCTTCCAAACACTAACCCCAACTCCCTCTCTCCTCCTCCCTATCTTCCAGATGCCATCACCAATCTTCATTAAAGGTAAGTAAAAATTTTATTTTATATGTATTACTATACATAATTAAAAACTATAGCATTTGTTGTATGTAAAACTGTAATTAATCTCTATAAAATGTATTTTGTGTTAATATTTTTGGGTTTCTGGAATGGATTAATTGTACATGTATTTCCATTATTTCTTATGGGAAATATTGCTTCGAATTTCAGACTTTTCGAATTTAGAACTAGCTCCTGGAACGGATTAAGTTCAATTTTTGAGGTTCCACTGTAGTTGCAAAGATGACAATTCAGTACCTAGGAAGCCATTCTTATTTCATATACTTATCAATGAAAAACATTTCAAAGCAAATTTCTTAAATTTCATACTACAGATATGTTTTGATAAATACTAAATTAATGATTATTAAAAAATACTGTGCTGTAAAACTGTCCACAAATATAGAGGATAGATTAATAACGATATTAATCGATCTTTTTTTTTTTTAGGCTTGGAAAACATTCTGAAGGAAATTTGTAATCTCACCAACCTTTGTCTTTTTCCAGAGAAGATAAAAAATGGATAATAGTTGTACTGCATGGTATATACAGAGAACATGTATATGAAGATGCTAATTGCCATCACACTGTGGAATCTTATACACCATAGTACATTATGAATTTTAGATTTTAACCTTTGGTTTCTAATAATTTTGGAAATATGTACAGGAATTTCAAAATATGCATGACATGGAATTTTATCTTTTTTTTATATATACTATATACATTTTCACCTAGGTAGTAGGTTGGTAGACAGCAACCGCCCAGGGAGGTACTACCATCCTGCCAAGTGAGTGTACAATGATAGCCTGTAATTGTTTTACATGATGGTACGATTGCTGGTGTCTTTTGTCTGTCTCATAAACATGCAAGATTTCAGGTACGTCTTGCTACTTCTACTTGCACTTAGGTCACACTACACATACATGTACAAGCATATATATACACACACACCCCTCTGGGTTTTCTTCTATTTTCTTTCTAGTTCTTGTTCTTGTTTGTATCCTCTTACTTCCATGGGGAAGTGGAACAGAATTCTTCTTCCGTAAGCCATGCGTGTTGTAAGAGGCGACTAAAATGACGGGAGCAAGGGGCTATAGTAACCCCTTCTCCTGTATATACTACTAAATGTAAAAGGAGAAACTTTTGTTCCTTTTGGGCCAACCCGCCTCGGTGGGATACAGTCGGTGTGTTGAAAGAAAGAAAGATATACATCTTCACCAATTTTCCTTCCTTCTATAAAAATTAAAAGGGGTATTCATCAGTCAAGACAAATATCACTAAAAGGAACATATTTTGGCAGATTTTACTGCATCATTACTGTGCTGAAGTCAAGAGTATTTTCCGAATGCAGTGGTACAGTATACATCTGGTATTTACCAGACTGCACTTCACCTTTTGGAGGACTTGTGGATTTTTAAAGCAAATGGGACCAATTCAGTTTGTTTACTTTTCAAAAACCATGTGATAAATGCTGAAAATGGGAGACCATAAGTTTAGATCTGCTCCTCTAACTATAAATAGCTACTGGTAACTTACAAACCTAAGTGAAAAAAACAGGTAGACTTTAATGATGCTTTCTTAATTTCCCTCCAATTTGAGTAACTTATGGAAGGGTTTGATTTTAGATAGTGCATTTTCATTACCAAGTGGCATCAATATTGCTGACTGGTCAACAAAGGCCAAGTCTTCATGAAAAAGTGCCCTAAAGCAGATCATGACTACTACTTGTTATTCCAATGCTTTACAAGCAAAGGAATGCTCAAGTGCAATTCAAGGTCACTCAGGGTTTCAAGAGAGCATGTGCAAACGATGATAGTGTCACCACACCAATCTACTATTGTTTTTGTTGCATGACCCTTGTTGGTTTAGCACTATTTGATAATGATGATAATATTGTTTTTACCCTCCTTCACTGACCTCAACAAATTTTCATTGCTACATCAACTATTTATAATTCTTTTCACTAATTATTCATGTGAAGTTTATTCTGTTTTAAAATGTATTACTTCTGGTTGTTTTGATATCTATTACATTGATATTTGATGTCGAGTTTCTTTTTCCATCTACCAAAATCAATTATGGTATGTAATACATTTGCAAGGAATGATCATGTCAAGTTGGTAAAAGTTTCAATGTACGAATGACCTTTAAAATTAATAACTTATAAATTTATGAGCATAATGTATCTTTTAAATAGTGTGCAGGTTTCATTTGTCATCTATATTGTCAATACTAACTGCTTTTATCTCATTGTTAGAAAGATAAAATTTGATAATGCTTCTTGAATATTTTAAGAGTACAATGGATTATTTTTTCAAAGGCTGTGTTAATTGTTTACTGCATCTTTTAAACTGCCCACATATAAAAAGGACACATTGATGGAGACTGCAAAATTATGCTACTCTTTAGGATATTGAAAACAAACTAATCTCACTAACCTTATTCTTTTTCCAAGGAAAGATAAAGAATAGAAAAATGGCTGTAGAACATGTAAGTACTTGAAGAGATTTGAAGCTTTGATTATTTGGGAAACTTACAACATTAATGAATGAAGAATGTACAACAGCCAAGTAGCAATGATCTGGCAAATGTCTAAATGTGTTCTGCAAAACATCCTAAACCTTTTCATCTGACTTTTTTTTATAATGAATCATGATTACAGCTAATTTTAAATGAAAAAAATTTAATTAAAAATTTCAACGAGGGCAGACTAATCTGCCTCCTCTTAAACCAACAGTGAATCTTGAGTATTAATGCTTCAAAAAAAATTGGAGCATAAATTAATACTGTACAGGACAGCCTATATTTAACTACTGCATTTCACTGTCTTGCGCAGATTAACATTTCAAGCACAGTGCCCTCAAATATGTTGCGAGCAGTAAATTTTGGCCTAGACACGAGAAAATGAGGCTGTGCAATAAGAGTACACAATATAAAACAAATCTTGTCCACATAGTGCATAATGGGAAAAGCAAACCTCTGACTGCATGTCTGACATAAAATAGGGACTGGGGTGTTTTCATGGTTTTACTAGATATTTCATGGTATCAATTAATAGAATGTAAGACATACTACTGAAGTAGAGATCATTTTGGTCAGTTTCAGAATAAGAAGTAGCTTGATATAGGGCTCAAAATCACAGAAATTAGATTTTTGACAATTTTCCTTAGGAAGGACAAAGTCTTGTTAGTTACAGAAATATCCGTCATTGTTACTATCACGGAAAAACAATCTCATCGGTATCCCCACAATTACCATTACCAGCTACCTGCACACCCAGAGAGTTTACTGTTTTCATTATAGCATATTTATAAATTTCCACCAAGAACCAAATAAAGTATCTACAGTATTAGTATACAGTTTTCAAATCAGTAACCATGTTGCAGTAGGTGCAAAAACTTTTTCTAGTGCTACATGTACTTTTGCATCATGAGTTGTGTAGGAAAAGATTAAAATTTTATTGTGAGTATCAACATTGGTTTCCAGAATGAAAGAAGCTTACAGCACCAAGTTGACCATTCACACTATCACAAAATTTGTCATTATTTACATGAAAAAAAGCTTTCACATGAACAGATAAATCTAAAACAAATTTGCAAATAGGCAATGACAAATTTTAATCACCAAGACTATCAAAATAATTTAAAATTCTTCAGCTTACACGTTTGAGATTTCATACTGCAAAACAGTGGGTTATAATTTTAATATAAGTCAGTTTGAATTTAAAAATCTGAATTCTTCATTCTTTTTAACTTACCTTTCGTTTTTTGTCTTTCGCATGAGACTTAGCACAAATAGTTTCATGCTTTTCTAATCGATCAGGGGCAAAGTTACGACCACAAATTTTGCAACTCTCTAACCCTGGAGGCGGTTTCGATGGTCGTGGAGTGGGAGCTGGTGCATTCTGGAAGATACATGTACATAGTATATTTTTACTGTAATCAAAATATACATTGGTTTTAATCTACGCTCACAGAATAAAGCCTTACAGATTAATTACCTACTTTTAGTTATGTAAATTAATTACAATATGCATTACTTCCATTACTAAAATTATGACAATAAAGTAGAATATACACTTGTTATATCTGAATATGGGCCATTTTCTCAAATTTTTATAAAATTTAGCCATTTCCCATAAAGACAAGATGACCTAAAGGAAAAGCACATTCACCATCATATGCTTAATATTTGCCTAATTGTGAATTCATTACCTCTGTAACTTGCTCAGCTATCAAAACTTTGAGGCCCAGTCCCTGGACCCATTATGTACCTCTGTAATCTTTTGACTACCGCCCACTGGATGGGTATGGGGTGCATAATAAACATATTAAACTAACTAACTGAAGAGCATACTGTGTATATCATGAGCCATTGATGACCCACCTAACCATAACATCCCCACCTGACCTGCAGAGCACAGGTATTGTACATCCCTCATTCAAAACTCAGTTTGGCTAACTTGTTTTTTTTTTTTTTTTATCACACTGGCCGATTCCCACCAAGGCAGGGTGGCCCGAAAAAGAAAAACTTTCACCATCATTCACTCCATCACAGTCTTGCCAGAAGGGTGCTTTACACTACAGTTTTTAAACTGCAACATTAACACCCCTCCTTCAGAGTGCAGGCACTGTACTTCCCATCTCCAGGACTCAAGTCCGGCCTGCCGGTTTCCCTGAACCCCTTCATAAATGTTACTTTGCTCACACTCCAACAGCACGTCAAGTATTAAAAACCATTTGTCTCCATTCACTCCTATCAAACACGCTCACGCATGCCTGCTGGAAGTCCAAGCCCCTTGCATACAAAACCTCCAACCTTTCCTAGGCCGACCCCTACCCCGCCTTCCTTCCACTACAGACTGATACACTCTTGAAGTCATTCTGTTTCGCTCCATTCTCTCTACATGTCCGAACCACCTCAACAACCCTTCCTCAGCCCTCTGGACAACAGTTTTGGTAATCCCGCACCTCCTCCTAACTTCCAAACTACGAATTCTCTGCATTATATTCACACCACACATTGCCCTCAGACATGACATCTCCACTGCCTCCAGCCTTCTCCTCGCTGCAACATTCATCACCCATGCTTCACACCCATATAAGAGCGTTGGTAAAACTATACTCTCATACATTCCCCTCTTTGCCTCCAAGGACAAAGTTCTTTTGTCTCCACAGACTCCTAAGTGCACCACTCACCCTTTTCCCCTCATCAATTCTATGATTCACCTCATCTTTCATAGACCCATCCGCTGACACGTCCACTCCCAAATATCTGAATACATTCACCTCCTCCATACTCTCTCCCTCCAATCTGATATCCAATCTTTCATCACCTAATCTTTTTGTTATCTTCATAACCTTACTCTTTCCTGTATCCACTTTTAATTTTCTTCTTTTGCATACCCTACCAAATTCATCCACCAATCTCTGCAACTTCTCTTCAGAATCTCCAAAGAGCACAGTGTCATCAGCAAAGAGCAACTGTGACAACTCCCACTTTATGTGTGATTCTTTATCTTTTAACTCCACGCCTCTTGCCAAGACCCTCGCATTTACTTCTCTTACAACCCCATCTATAAATATATTAAACAACCATGGTGACATCACACATCCTTGTCTAAGGCCTACTTTTACTGGGAAATAATTTCCCTCTTTCCTACATACTCTAACTTGAGCCTCACTATCCTCGTAAAAACTCTTCACTGCTTTCAGTAACCTACCTCCTACACCATACACCTGCAACATCTGCCACATTGCCCCCCTATCCACCCTGTCATACGCCTTTTCCAAATCCATAAATGCCACAAGACCTCTTTAGCCTTATCTAAATACTGTTCACTTATGTGGCTAACTACTTTTCCTGAATCCATGTATATATTCATAACCCCTTGTTTAAGACTTTAGTTACATTCCTGAAAATGGAGATTTAAATATACATTTGCTCTCTTTGTTATAGCTGCCTTGTTGATGCAGTTTCAAAATATAAGCAGGATTGATTATTTCATACTTGCCACAAATTTGATAATCAATATGCTTTTTTGACATTGTGATCGGGAAACACTAAACCTATAGGATACATGCAGCACCCTTCTCTTGGCTCAAACCTGAAGTCATCAGATTTGATCAAAGAGAAGAGCAGCTTCTATTTCTAAGAACTAGTACCCTTCAACAGCATCAAGGGACTCTCCATGAAGCAATTTCCTTTGATAAAAAGGAGTGATTACTACACAAATATTTCGTTAACTACAGAGATCAGCATACTGGGGAAAATTTTACTTTATAAAGTTATATACTCCATTTGTGTTTCTCTGTATACCTTTACCTTGTTAAAAGCAATAAAATGGTCAGCACTAAACAAATATTTAACATCATTGATTAAACTATGCTATTATCATCATACTGCTTAAAAAAACTATGTATAAATTTGTTCATAAATAAGGTGAGTCATTGCCATGCAAATATGGATATTTTGTGATTACTGTGGTACATAAATGAAAGGTTATATTCTAACACAACCTAGGCTCTTTAAAAAATGAAAATTACAGCACTGTACTACTCTTAAAACATCTAAAATCTCATGCTGAGTGGCAAAATAACTAACATACACTGTGGTATGTGTTTCAGTCTTCCATCTACCTTTGAAAAGCAATAAACAATACTATACTACAGGTGTGTGATTATATAGAACAATGCTATAAATGAACCATACATTTGTCCATTACTTAGCAAGTATGAAGGCTCATTAAATGTGAGCAAGCTTTATTTAGTACATATAAATGCAGTATATGAAACTACTGCATTGTTTCAGCAGACACACACATAAAATGAAAGGTTTTAGCTCTTCACTGTATTACCTCTTCTGTTTCTCCATCAGTTCCTGCATTATCCCACTGGGTAAAAAAAATCAATTATAGTTAGTTAACATACACATTTAAGATAAACCAGAGCTATACATAATAGAAAATATTTTTTTGTATCCCATCATCCACACTAATTCCCCATTTACAATAAATATGGAGAGAAGCTATTTTAAAACACTTCACCATAAGACCAGACGAAGGCAGGGCAGCTATTAATTATGTGAATGATTCCTTCTGTTTTCTCAAAAGATATGTCAGGATAAGGAGTTGGGTTTATTTGGGGAGGGAAATTATTGTTCTGCTATTGTAATAATGGCAATGCATCTAGTTTATGCAAGATGTCTTGCAGTACATGAAGTGTGGCAAAACCAACTTTCAGAAGTAGCAACAATTACTTCTCTCAGTCATCCTACTGAACAGTCTAGCCATATTTGACTTTCAAACAGGCAGTACTCTACTAAAGTTGCAATTGGGGAAAAAAAAATAATTACAGGTACAGCACTTTAAAACAAGGGGATTCTTTGTTAAGCTGTAGTCTGCTTCTGGTTTAGATGATTGATAGAATTATTATTGCTGCTATTGTGCATATATTACCTACAATCAATATTACCAACAATAATATAGTGGCTATTAAAATCGTCTAATCATTACTGCACTATACTGCATAGCTAATGACAGTCAAATCAATTGTGTCAACCTCTCATTGTGCTCAAAAGAAATGAAGATTGTCCAGAATTATGTATGAACATAGCTGCATAGTATTTATTCCATCCATTATATAATTAGTGGCTTTCTTTTGTGCCTACCATTGTATTAACTCATGTAAACTACATTATTTGCACACAAAAATAAACATTATTAATTATTATTATTCAGTTACAATACCTTGGGTTTGGGTGGAGGTTTTGGCTTGGTCTTGGCAGGTGGAACTCCTCGCACTTTCGGTTTGCTCTGTAATAGACGAATGTGGTATTAGAAAATATTTTCTAACACAGATCTTATACCTATGAATAAGTCCAAATAAGATCTCTCACATATGTGAATATGCTCCCATCCCTCACAGGTCCTACTGAATACTGCTCTCTCATTTTTCACCACTCAAGTTCTTTAACACACCCATCCTCCATTAATAGCCAATTTCCTACCATTCCTAAGTTCCAAAACAAAAAAAAAAAACTATAAATTCAAAAGAACTGTAAATTATACTGGTGCCTTCTAAATTACATATACTAGTTGCATTATGCAAAGTATATACCTCAATTTTTATATACAACAACAATACCCTTACCAACAACAGTGTAATTCCACACACAATTTGTTCATTCTAAACTACTTTACGGGGAAATTGTCAACCACAAACTGAAAATACATTATGTACCTCCATTTTAATCACAAGGCAATAAAATAAAAGTTGCCTGGGAATAATGACTTCCCATTTTTGTGGATTCGTTTGTTTTCAAGAACTTATAAAAACCCACTATGTAAATAAGAAATGTAACACGAACATTTTATTAGAAAAAGTTTGGCTGACAGGAAACTTTATAAATCCAACGCAAGGCAGTCGTCAGTGTTCAGTGGTCAGTCGTCAGTGTTCAGTGGTCAGTCGTCACAGTGTTCAGTGGTCAGTCGTCACGTGAGGTCACAGACCCTGAGCTGCTTGGGGATTAGCGTGGACGGTTACAAAGCATGGCTTGCTTCTACAGTGTTTTAAAAGCTGAGGTTGGAGAGTTGAAGGAGGAGGTCTTGCTTCTCCAGGAGGAGATTAGGAGGCTGAAGGTCCACCTCAATGGGCCTGGGAGAGAGTGTGAGGTGGTTGGAGATGTGGGGAATGAGGCTTCTAGCAGTGAGGTGCAGTCTGTCTCTCACTGTGAGGAGGCTGTAGGTGGGGTGGTAGCAACGGCTACCAGCATTTGAGGTGCAGCCCGCACTGCTACAAGTGGCGAGTTGTTCACAGTAAGGGAGGCGCATCAGAGTAAGGAAAGTTAAGAGTGCAGATCTGAAGGTAGGAAATCGTTCTCTGTTCTCCAGGATGAATGTTACTTCAGTGGCCAGTGAAGGTAAGGGTACTACTGCCCCTGCTAATGAAGGTAAGCGCATTTCTTGGGTTGGTGACTCTCAGGTAAGATATGTTGATCGTGCTTTTTGTAATAGGAATAAGAAGATGAGAGATAGAGTGTGCTTCCCTGGAGTGGTGTTGGGGACATTGTCAACAGACTGGATAATATCATGTCAGGTAATGGGAACAAGCCCATTATCTGTTCAGTTGTGGTGGAAATGATTTTGGGGAAGGGTAGGAGAGAAGAGATTGCTAGATAAGTACAGGTAAAGCTATAGATTTCATTAAGTCAAAGGGAGGGATCCCAATCATATGAAAGCATCTTGCCTAGAAGGGGAGTAGGAAATGAATGGTTGTCTAGGGCAATTGGTGTAAATTGCTGGCTAGACAGATACTGCAAGGAACTTGCAATCCCATTCATTGACAACTGGAACAACTTTTATGGCAAACATGATATGTAGGCAAGGGATGGGGTTCATCTCTCTGGGGCAGGGGTGGTAGCACTTGCAGACTCGATTGAGAAGGCCATTGGTGAAATGCCTATGATTTTAAACTGATGGAAGATAGAGGTATGGGTTGTGTGGGAAACAAGCAGGTTGGGAACACTAGGGTTTTGGAAACAGTAATGTATAAAAAGGCATTCAGCATGAAGTTATAAATAAAGGACAATAGAACAGGTCAGCAAACAAAGGGGGACAGCAGAGGGCAGCAAGGGACTAGCTCCCTTAAGGTTTACTATACTAATAGCAGGAGTGTTAGAAAAAAAGATAGTGAGCTAAGATTTTAAATTTCAAGGGGCAGGAAACCCTAGATATTATTGCTATAACAGAGACCCGGCTCAATCTGAAAGATAGAGAGATGCCCTCTGAATGTCACATACAGGCTATAAATTATTTCCCCACTGACAGGGTCAACAGGAAAGGTGGTGGAAATAGCGATGTATGTCAGAGACAATTTAAATTGTTGTGTTAGACAAGGGTATTAAATTAGAAAACGTCAGCCCTGAATCTGTTTGGTTACAGCTTCTCGAGGGCCGAGAAAAACTTTAAATTTTGGGTGTGATTTACAGGGCCCCCAAAACTTGATAGGGAGTGCAGTAAACTTCTATGGGACGAAATTCGAAGGCTTTCTACATACGAAAATGTTGTGTAATGGGAGATTTCAACTTATAGACAGATTGACTGGAGCAATTTGACAGGAAATTTAGAGTCGGGTGACTTTCTTGATACGATCCAGGATTGTTTTTTAAAAAAAGTTTGTGACAGGGGCCAACTAGGGGAAATAACCCCCTTGACTTGGTTTTTTGCCCGTAGGGAAACACTAATTAATTAAACTTGAGGTTAATGATGAGTTGGGGAGAGTGATCACAAATCACTCAGTTTTAACAAAATTTATGGAATTCCCTAATAATGGCAATCAAGTCTCCGTCCCTGACTTTCGCTTGGCTGATTTCATAGGACTGAAAAATTACTTAGGTGGGCTGAACTGGAATGACCTGATAGGGGTCAGGTAGGTGGTGATGGTTGCCGATATGATGCTTTCCAGGGCATAGTTCTAGCTGCTCAGTCAATTTGTCCAAATAGGGAAATCAGATCAAACAAAAATGATCTAAATGGATGAACAATAGATTAAATATCTGATTGGTCAAAAGAGAGGCATATATAGGCAAATTTAAAAGAGGAGAGGGGCAAAATTTAAAAAATCGATATATTCAGTTAAAGAGAGAAATAAAAAAGGGAATTAGAAAAGCAAATAGAGATTATGAGGTTAAAGTTTTCAAGAGAATCGAAAAGACTAACCAAAAGGATTCTTTCAGGTATTTCAGAGTAAGATCAGGGACAAAATAGGCCCAATCAAAAGTTCCTCGGGTCAGCTCACTGACAGTGTAAGGAAATGTGTAGAATTTTTAACACATACTTCCTCTCAGTTTTTCACAGGAGGATACCAGCGATATTCCAGTAATGATAAATTATGTAGAACAGGCGATAATAAACTGTGCACTATTAGGGTCACAAGTGACATGGTCCTTAGGCAAATAGATAAATTAAAACCTAACAAACCCCAGGCCCTGATGAACTGTATGCAAGGGTTCTAAAGGAATGTTAAAGAGGAGCTTAGCACACCTTTGGGTAATCTTTTCAACATATCACTACAAACTGGCATGGTGCCAGATAAGTGGAAAATGGCAAATGTGATACCTATTTTCAAAACAGGTGACAGGTCCTTAGCTTCGAACTATAGACCAAAAGCCTAACTCCATAGTGGGAAAATTTATGGAATCAATAATTGCCGAGGCAGTTCGTAGCCACCTTGAAAAGCTAAATTAATCAACGAATCTCAGCATGGTTTTACAAAGGGGCGTTCCTGCCTTACGAATTTATTAACTTTTTTCACTAAGGTATTTGAGGAGGTAGATCATGGTAATGAATATGATATTGTGTATATGGACTTCAGTAAGGCTTTTGACAGGGTCCCACATCAGAGACTATTGAGGAAAAATTAAAGCACATGGAATAGGAGGAGAAATTTTTTCATGGATAGAGGCATGGTTGACAAATAGGCAGCAGAGAGTTTGCATAAATGGGGAGAAATCAGAGTGGGGAAGCGTCACGAGCGGTGTTCCACAGGGGTCAGTGTTGGGCCCCCTGCTGTTCACAATCTACATAAACGACATAGATGAGGGCATAAAGAGCGACATCGGCAAGTTTGCCGATGACACCAAAATAGGCCGTCGAATTCATTCTGACGAGGACATTCGAGCACTCCAGGAAGATTTGAATAGACTGATGCTAGTGGTCGGAGAGAAATGGCAGATGCAGTTTAATATAGACAAAAGCAAAGTTCTAAATGTTGGACAGGGACAATAACCATGCCACATATAAACTAAATAATTTTAGATCTTAATATTACGGATTGCGAAAAAGATTTAGGAGTTCTGGTTAGCAGTAATCTGAAACCCAAGACAACAGTGCATAAGTGTTCGCAAATAAAGCTAATAGAATCCTTGGCTTCATATCAAGAAGCATAAATAATAGGAGTCCTCAGGTTGTTCTTCAACTCTATACATCCTTGGTTAGGCCTCATTTAGATTATGCTGCACAGTTTTGGTCACCGTATTACAGAATGGATATAAATTCTCTGGAAAATGTACAAGGAGGATGACAAAGATGATCCATGTATCAGAAACCTTCCCTATGAGGATAGACTAAGGGCCCTGAAACTGCACTCTCTAGAAAGAGTAGAATTAGGGGGGATATGATTGAGGTTTATAAGTGGAAGACAGGAATAAATAAAGGGGATGTAGATAGTGTGCTGAAAGTATCTAGCCTAGACAGGACTCGCAGCAATGGTTTTAAGTTGGAAAATTCAGAGTCAGGAGGGATATAGGAAAGTACTGGTTTGGTAATAGAGTTGTGGATGAGTGGAACAAACTCCCAAGTACCGTTATAGAGGCCAGAACGTTGTGTAGCTTTAAAAATAGGTTGGATAAATACATGAGTAGATGTGGGTGGGTGTGAGTTGGACCTGATAGCTTGTGCTAACAGGTCGGTTGCCGTGTTCCTCCCTTAAGTCAATGTGACCTGACCTGACTAGGTTGGGTGCATTGGCTTAGGCCGGTAGGGACTTGGACCTGCCTCGCATGGGCCAGTAGGCCTTCTGCAGTGTTCCTTCGTTCTTATGTTCTTATGATATGTGTTAGGTCACCTGACTCCCATGTTCTGTCAGGTCAGCAAAAAGTTAGACATGCTAAAACTACCAGATTTCTTGGCAACAATGTTGAAAATGTCAATCCATGATGATTAAAGGCAGAGTCTATTATGAAGATTAATTTCCTTGGTTACGAGAATGGCTTCTTCTAACTTCACCAAATGGTCTTGTTTGTTCTGGTGAATTA